AGAATATACAGTCTTCATGGTATAAATAAATATGCTTTGGGGGACCTCAAGGACATCTCAGAGATGGCGAGTCTTTCTCTAGAGCAGCTGAGACTGAGGACTAGCTAGAGGCTTCGGACGGAGGCTCAACAGACCATATTTACAGTGGAATAGTGGTTTCGCACATGGACACCAAGTTGCAAGAACCAAGGGCAAACCCTCCCAAGGGCAGGCATTGATCCAACACCTTGTGGCAGGCCCCAAGGTGAATAAAGCAGAGATTTATTCATTTAACGATGACCACCAATGCTCCCAACACTAGATATATATGTCTCAAAATCACCTGTACCTTTCACTGTATTTCTGAAGCATACCCATTGCAGACTAACCACAGCTCTAGAGTAAAGAGGAACTCCTAATAAAAATAAGGAATGAGATGTTATGATCTCATTCTCCGAGACATTAAAGAACTTGACCAAACTCCAGCAGAGCTCATGAGAAAGCTGCACCCAATCTTCTTTGAGTGAGCAGCAGATGAGTCTCTGGAGACATCCACAGACTCCCAGAAGAGGGCTTCGTAATGCTCCTCAAGCCATGTGATGTCAGGACAGAGAGCAGAGGCTGTGGCTAGGCTCTGGGGCAGACGAGGAAGAAATCCTCCTTCCTGTAACTCAGCATCTAACTGTGATCCAGAATCTTTCTGCTTCCTGGGCCTTAACTCATTCCACAGACTTCTCCCTAATGAGGGGACCATGTTGTTTCCATCAATAAGCCACCAAGGCTGCAAAAAAATCACTGCAAAAACCTCGTGAGCAACGTTGAGGTAGGATGTTAGCATTTCTTCTTTGCAGATTCTGTCCCCATTGGGCCACCGCCCAGCAGGCCACCCAGGGCAGGATCATCTGTATCCTTCCCCAGATCTACACTGACAGCTGTGTCTGTGGCACATTGATTATGGACTCCAAGGGCAGCAACCGTGAAGTGATGAAGTTGGCTTTCCAGAACACCTGCTCCTAAGGGAACTTAGGACAATTTATTTGATGACACAGCAGCCATTGCTCTTAATTACTCTTAGACAAATATTTATTTTAAGGAGCCATTTGGAACAATGTTAGAGTAAACTTTAGAGAGACCCATTACTTGTCCTTTGGAAGCTTCCAACAAGACATGTCACTAATATAAACAAACTGGTACAGCTTACAAAATTTAAAAAACAAAATAGAGAGCTGGAGGTGGTAAGATAGTGTAAGACCATTTCGGGTGGCCGAGGGGAGGGCCCAGACAAGCATTCTCTCTCAGGCCCGTGACTCTGGATTTTTTTTTCTAGGTAACACTGGGTCATTCTTGTTTCAGGAGGTGATAGAGGAAATGGAAGGCCTAATTATCTGTGGAGATCTGGTACCATGGCAAAGCTTCTCAGGGCAGGATAAGCTGGCAGAAAGCAGGCTCAGCTGCTAATAATCTCCACAGTCCTTTGCAGAAAGATAGGAGCAGTAATTCATAGTCCTCAGACGTAGGTGTTCAGGCTGGATTTCCTGAGGAGCTCTGACCCTGCAGAGAAGCTCCCAGCAGTAGATCAATACAGTGATTAAAAGAAGTTCTATAAGCAAATGCCTGGTCCGACTGAGGAAGGCAAGAAGCCAGCCGGTTATTTGCCAAGGCCAAAGCCTCCCACCGGACATGGCCCGGCAGTCCGGACTGGACAGTACTGACATGTCGGTGTGCCTGACCATCCCTGAGCATCAATTAAAGGGGGCTGGGTGGCTCTCAAGGATCTCTCTCTCCATTGGAGCGGTCTAGGAGCCCTGGAAAGGGGACTGAAAGGCACAAGAAAATGGTGCGCTCTAGGGTCTCGTTCTAGTGAGAACAGAGTTAGCTGGGAGCCTGCAGGTAGGCTGAGGCCCCTCGGGAAGACAGCGGTGCAGTCAACTGCTCCCAGACCCAGCAAAGCACTGCCGAGCCTCCTGGTGTAGGAAGTGTGCACCCTCCCTCCGGTGGGTTCTGCAGGGAGTGGCCTGGCTGGAGGTCCTGCTCTGTCACTTCCTGGCTGAGACCCCCTTGGCTTGGTTTCTGTATCTGCACCATGAAAATCAAACTACATTCCTCCAAGGCGGGGCTCACAGTGTCAACACGGGTAAAGTGTCTGGCCTGGTGCCTGACACACAGCAAACAGTACGAGAGTGAAAACCATCCAAGGCTAACAAACAAATGCACACACAGTCATGCTGGAACAACTTAGACATCTTGCATGGCGGCCAAGAGAACTGGGCTAACTCGGAACAATCACTTAACCCTGGCCCACCGTCTTTTGACGATACCAAGTAAAGCAGCCAGCTCCTTCCTTTCTGAAACACATTTTTTAAAAGATTTTATTTGTCAGAGAGAGCGCACACGCACAAGCAGGGGGAGAGGCAGGCAGAGCGAGAGGCAGGCTCCCTGCTGAACAAGAAGCCTGATGTGGGACGCGATCTCAGGGCCCTGGGATCATGACCTAGCTGAAGGCGGACACTTAACAGCCCGAGCCACCCAGGCACCCCTGAAACACTTTTTAAATATCCCACTTCCGGACACCCATTTTGGTTTTCTTCCTTTTTCTTTGCTGTTTGCCCTCCTTTTTCTCTTCCCAGACCTAACTGTTGGCATGCTCTGGGATAAGTTAGATCTGCTTTTTCCCCGAAAGCCACTTTACCTGCTCATTCTCATCCAGTCCCAGACTATCAACACCATTTCTAGCCGGTAAGGGTGGAATTCATAGCTTGAGGGGTGACCTTCTCCTGCTGGAGACCCAAATCCTACAGCCTACATAACCTAGCCCCTTGGATCTTGCCACAGAAACACAGAGTGTGGGGTCCAAGGTGTTCATCAGAGATCAATGTCTGCGAAGGAAGAGGAGGAAGGAGGGCAGGCGAGGGAGGCAAACTGGAGCCTCAGACAGCCCAGTGGGCAATAGGCAGCTCTGTCAGTGAATACGGTCCCGGAGAGGTTTCTCGCATCAGGGTTCAAGGGGCTCGGCCTTTGTGCTCTCCTTGTTCAGTCACTGACACAGGCTGCTCCCGGAAGGGTGCAACCCTGGACAAAGTGGCTTTCCCTGGACTGCTGGTTGTGGCCGGGTGGAAGCTATATGCTATTTGTGCTGCCTGAAGCTGGACAGGAAGCTTCTTGAAGGGGAAGCTGGGTGGGGTGTCTCCATCTAATTCACCAAGTCCATAACCAAACCCTTGATTTTGCCTTGCTGCCCAACCTAGCTGTCCTTCATCTTTTTTCTTTTCTTTTTTAAAAAATCTCAGTCAACGGCACTACAGCTTTGCTCAGGCCAAATCCTAGGTCTAGAGACTCCTCCATTTCAAATGCCTCTCAGTCAGTTCATCTCAAATTCGTTCAGCTCCACAATCATGATGTATCCAATCCAAGCACTTCTCACGTCCTTCCCACTGCTGCTCAGCCGGGCCCCACCCCACTGTTGCCCTGTGGTCAGCTGTAGTAGTTCACTAGCCCCTTCTCAAAACTGTTTCCCTGACCATCCTTCCCGATCTATTGTCTGTACACAAATAGGAGGGATCTATCATTCCTTAATTTATTTAAGACTTTTTTTTTTTTATTTTAAAAGTGTGCGTGAGTGGGGGAGGGGCAGAGGAAGAGGGAGAATCTCAAGCAGAGTCCATGCCCAGAGTAGAGCCCGATGATGGGTGTGATCTCACGACCCTGACATCATGGCCTGAGACGAAATCAAGAGTCAGCCGCTTAACAGACTGAGCCACCCAGGCGCCCCTGGAGGGATCTTTTAAAATATAATCAGATTGTCTCCTATCCCTGTTCAAAACCAGTCAGTGGCTTCACGTTCAAAATTAAATCTGATTCTTTACATGACCTATAATCTCACATGATACCCCACACCCCTCACTGCTCTCTAAACCTGTGCTGGCCGACACAAGCGCCACCAGCCACAAGGGCACTTGAAACAAGCACTTGACATGGGCTAGTCCACACTGGAAGGCGCTGTTAGCATCAATTACACACCGGGTCTTGAAGATTTAGCATGAAAAAAAAAAAAGTGAGAATGTAAGATTAAGTTTCTAAGTTTTTAATAGTGATTATATGTTGAACAATGTTTTGAAGATGAGTTAAAGAAAATACTACTAATTTGATCCTTTATTTTTTAAAATACTCTTAGAAAATTAAAATCACATCTGTGGCTTATAGTGTATTTCTGCTAGATGGTGCTGCTCTAAACAAGAAGTTATCAAATCATGCTTTGCAGGCCAAGTCCTGCCCACTGCAGGCTTCTGTATGGCCCGTGGACAAAGCACAGTTTTTACATTTTTTAATGGTTGGAAATAAATCAAAAAAATAAAAATTCACGACACATGAAAATCGTATGAATTCGAATTTCAGTGTCCATTACAGAGTTTTATTGGAAAAGAGCCATAATCATTTGTTTCTGTATTACTTATGGTTGTTTCTGCCCTACAGCAGCAGAGTTGTCATTCCAACAGAGACAACCTCGCTCATGAAGCCAAATACAGCTACTGTCTAACGACTGACAGAAAAGCATCTCACCTCCTGCTCCAAACCCTTACCTCCTTCACTTTACTTTTCTTTGAAGGATGTATAACTATTACCTCTCCTGCGATATAACTTCTGCAAAGGTAGGAGCTTGCTCTCTTTTGGGGAATTACTGCCGGCACCTAGAACGCTGCCTGGCACATATCAGGTGCTCTACAAATATTTGTTCAAACAGTACATTTTTTAAAAATCCAGATTTCAGGGGTTTCACAGGAAGCCCCACGTTACTTCAAGAACATGAATTCCACTACTGCAATGGGCTGTCTCTGTTTCTCAGCCAGAAAAGCTAAGGTTAAGACCCCAGCAGACCCGTACAGAAAAGCCAGAAAGGAAATGCCCCTGTTTCCTTTCCTTATCAGAAAGGGAAGGCCTGGTAACTTGCAAGGCTGGAGACAGACGCCAGCACTGCTGTAACGTCAAGGGGAGCTCAAGCTTTATTTCCATGATTTTTAAATGCCTTTTTTTTTTTTTTTTTTTTTTTTGGCCCTGCCTATAGGGGAAAGGTAAAGCTGTCAAAGTTATCAAAAAATTCAAATCTCCTTTTCTTCACGGGGCTGCCGGTCAACGTGAATTCATCCACTGTGCCTCCCGGGTCCTGAGAATCACTTCCAGGTGCACCAGATGCACTTCCGGGGTCAAAGGATTCTGCCACCTCCAGGAGCTCCAAGTCACTTCCATCTTCCTCAAAGGACTGTTGGAAGAGGTCATAGATCGTCTGCTGCTTTGGGTCCTTCATCAGAGAGAGAAAACAACAAAGTTAGAGCGCAGGCTCCAGCACCGACTCTCCCTGTGCCACTGAGGCTGGGGAGGAGACCCGGAGGTGGGGGCTGCCCATTTTATGGCATCAGGTGCCTCATGATGGCCAGCGCAGACCAAAGCGGCCTTACGGCCTGACACTGTTTCTTCTCTGCTGCTCGTGGAGTAAAGGAAAAGGGGGTGGTGGTGGAGAAATGGTGTGAGAGCAATAAGGAACCTGCTCTCAAACTAGAATTCATGTTGAAAATGCCTTCTTCTTTCTAGCTTTCCAAACTGGTATTGAAATAGCTCCCAAGCTCTCATTTCCTGCAGAGCCGTTCTCCAGCGAGGGCTTAGGTTGGAATTCAACTGCCAAACCCGTGTGCTCAGCCACGGCTTACACCTAATTTTTGGAGTGGTTGGCAAAACATACCCATACTAGACATACAGAGAAGTAGATTCCCATTTTTTTGTTTCTGACTATCTAAAATCTGCCAATGATCAAAAGACCCATCAGCCGTCTCTGTGCGTTGTCGGCCACGGCGCAGTGCTAAAATCATGCTCAGCAGCTGCAACCAGAGCACGCGATGGGCTCACTGTCACCCCTTTGCTGATCTCTCCCAAGTGTGAATTCCCAGCCCTGACCGTCTTTCAAGCCAGGTGTGCTTTCAATGTTTCCACTGACATCGTGGTTTCCTTAAACAAATGGCAGTTTAAAAACCAAAGTCATCTCTCCTCTCAATCCTACATCCTCAAACCAGCAACTCTCTTGGACAAAGCCTAGTTTCGATGGTCTGCCAACTTTTTTTTTTTAAACAGGAGAAAATCAATAGGCATACATACGGGGAACCCACACAGACGTGGAAATGCCAAAGATGGTCAGGCAAAATGAGGTTATACATGTCAATCTGAACTAAGCAGAAGGAGGTAGGGGTCTGGGACCTCAGAGGAAAGGAATGCATTTCACAGAGGGTCTACCAACATTGTTCTCCTCCCCCTGGCTTGCCATCACCAGGGCGTCCCGACAGTCTATCTCACACTTCGAAGGGGCAGCAAGTTTGCCTCTCCTGTCTTGTTTCCTCCATGATGTTCCACAGGCACACTGTTTCCCCGGGCTTCAACACTTGGCACTTGCACAGATTTGCAGTGGTGCACCCCCATTTCAATCCCTGGCAGGTCTCTGCCGGGCTGATTTCTGCCCCTCACTGTCCTTTCACAGGATTTTCTCGTCATGTCTCGGAGGCCCCCTGTGTTGACCTCATCAATGCAGAAGCAGCTTCCCTGGCTTTTCAGCCCCTTTACAATCAGGTCTCATTCCAGCTGGTCTCTACTTCTTCACTGTTCCTTAACAGAAGGCCCCCCACTCCCTCCCGCATTGGTGATGGGGGGCCCTGAAATCTGACTGTGGGAGCAGTCCTGTGAAAACTTCAGATTATCTGATATACCTGCACCCAACACTCCCTCACCTTTCAGGATCCCAGCCTTCCCAATGAGGAGTGGTATTAAGGGTCATTAAGGTCAGCCTCCCCTGATCTGCACATCCTCCTCTAAGAACTAACCTCATCAGTCTCTGTCTGAACAACTACAAGGTTAAGGAAACACTGCCCCAAGTAAAATAAGTGTTAACCTGCACTTGAGTATGGCCTTTGATTATGGTGGTGGCAATACTGTGCTTTCAGAGCATGCCTGATTAATGGAAGCAAGGTCCAAGATCTGATCAGTATTTCACTTCCCCTCTGGGAAGGCAGGCTGTCTCAGCAAGACAACCGCTTTTGCTTTAATCTCCTCTGAAGAGGCAACATTTTCTTTTTCTAGTAGTTGATGAAATTTCCAGCTCCACTTTAATAAAAAGATAGATATAATTATTAATCAAAATAAGTATTGATAAATGGCATTTATATTATCTTGTACTTGTATTTCAGGCAGAAATTCTTAACTAATTCAGAGTGAGGGTAAGGGCAGTATAAATAAATGAGTTCTAAATAAACTCATTATTGAGTTTGAGAAGGTTGAGAATCCTTTAAAAATAAGGTTCCTTGCTTTCAAAAGGGCACATAATAACCTAGGCTCTGTGAAAATATTTACCATTCAACTGAATTAAAGAGTTCTTTAAAAAGCTTAAAAATAAGGTTGTTTCACAATTAGCTTATTAACTCTTTACATCTAGGATGATAATTTATATTCTACATTAGAAAATATGATCTCTGGGGGTGCCTGGCTCAGCTGGAGGAACCTGCAACTTTTGATCTGGGGGTCATGAGCTCAAGCCCTACATTGGGTGTAAAGGTTACTTAAATAAGAACTAAAAAAAATAAAATAAAAATAAGACTTCTGAATCTTATTTATCTCAATAATTACTTCTGGAAGGAAGCATTTAGTTGCTTCCTCACTGTAAATGAAAGATCAAATCCTCAGACTCTAGTCTTCCTGTCACTCGAAGATTTTGCTGATTTCACTCAGACTCTGATTCTGGGCAGTTCCATGAGAAGACATTTTGGTTTCCAGACGAGCTGCAGTAAAACTGCTTTTCCGCATGAGGCTGAGTGAGATCCATAGGAATGACCCACACCACCTCTCCAGGGACCCAAGGGCTGAGCAGACAACTTAATGCTCCACCCCTCCCACCCCCCAGCCAGGGGCAAGGAGCCATTTGCTGGTGTTACCTTGTAGAAGTAATTAGTAGCTTCTGTCGTTTCTGAAAAATTGGTCTCAGAAAGTCCGGCCTCACCCAGAACTTTAATCTTCTCTTGAATTAGGGGCCTGTTGAGGACAAAGGCGCCACAGTGAATATAAGCTGCACAGAGCCAGGGGGCTGATTAAAAGGAAATCCCCCTCCCTGTGTTTATGGGGCAGAGGCATGTTCCACTTCTTTGCAGCTCTCAAACCGCCAATGCCCAACCTCAAATATTTGCCTCCTCTCGGCTATAAACCAATTTAGGGTTCGAGTCAATCAGGTTCAAAATTCTTTCTACCGGAAAATGTAGAGAAAATAAATGTCTCATTACAACAAAATTCTCAACCTGGGGCCCAGTGAACAAATCCACAAATCCAAAGATTCGGGAGTAGGAAAAACCAACACATGTGGCAAAGGTAAGACCCCTTAGTCATAAAGCTGGAGATAGGCGAGTAGTGGAAACTAACGAGATAATCAAGAAACGTAGAATCAGGAAGGGGTAAATGGGATTGGGAAGGAGCATTTGGAGATCTTTTTGCTTAGGTACCAGACATGAACCCTACTGTTGAACACTGTACCCCAGGTCTGCTATGGAAGCACTACATGGCCCACAGGGAGCCACTTTCTCCCAAACGTCAGCAGCAGCCCTGTAGGATGGCCTTATGTACCAATACACGGCATAAAGGGGCAGAGGGGGACATCACCGTGTCTCAGCAATGCCTTCATGGGCAGGACAGAGTGTCTTATGAGCAAACCTGCACCTATGTTTCCTCACCATCGGCTCCTCCCACCCCCTTGTCTCAGGCCAGTGGGAAAGGAGCCACATCCCCTTCATCCTCATTCACCCAGCAAGCCATGAGTGAATGCTGTGAAGGGGGCCCGGCATGCTCACGGGTGCAAGGGGAAGGGCATGACTCCGGGCTCCTCAACACGGGGCTCTGAAGACATCAGCAAGAGCGGAAGCGGTTAGGGAGTGAAGGAAATAGATCACTGGTGTCAACCCCCGCATGACCCCCGTGGCCAGCCATACCAGAGGTAGTCGTCAGCTGTGCCTCTTGCCACAAGGTAGTGGATGCTCACGGAGCTTGACTGTCCGATTCGGTGTACCCGGTCCTCTGCCTGGAGCAGTATCTGCGGGGTCCGGGAATCAGGATGTGTACGGGCCAAGGCCTGAAAGGGCTCCAGCTAGCACAGCACACAGCCCCCTGCCCCTGAGCCCAGCACACCATCCCTCTCAGAGGACTTCACTCCATGACCCAAGGCAGCAGGTTGAGAGCCTCTACCTCCGAACAAGCTGCCACTAGACACAAGAGAGGACCAAACCAAACCAAACCCAAGTTCTGGGGGAACTAGAACCTGCAGCCAGCCAGCGGTGGGCCCAGCACTGTGCCGGGAGGAACGAACAGCCAGCGCTGACTCTGCTAGGAGGCCGTGCTGACGGCAAATAACAGAAGCCCGGCACGCCTCTGCTCTTCTTATTGGGACAGAAACCATGACCTTCTAAAGAACTGAGGGAGACGTCATGGATGATTAGGGGTCGGGTGGCTCTTTAACATGGTAAGCTCTGTAATAAATAACAAGGCCCAAGGGCATCGTTTCTACTATATATGCCTTCAGCCTCGAAGTCCACCCATCACGAAACAGTGCACTGTGTGGCCAATGACATATCTGCTGTCACAGCTCTCCGCTCAGGAGATAAGGCCAGTGGAACCCCCAGGGCGGGCAGTTGCCCACTGGCCGCATCGGCTAAGCAGCTCACAGTGATGGTTAATACAAACCCCCAGGCTGGAAGGCCAGAGGCCTGGGCTGCAGCTGCTGCGGCCACAGGCTCCCCTTCGGGGACAGCTGTGCACTCGAACTATTATGCCCCCATTTCCTCACAGAGGGATGCCTCCTGAGATTCCTCCTGGCCTTCTAAAACTTCAGTATTCCCTTCATAAGATGGAGTCGATAATCCTACTACTTAGAAGACTGCCATGAACATCTAATGACCAGCCAACAGATGTGCGAGTCCTCACTTCTTTGAAGACTGACCCGTGGGAAGTAGAAACACGTTTCTGAGGCCAAGCAGAAACGGATGGAAGACAAAACTGGTGCTGGGGACAGCTCCTGGAAACCCTGTCTGCTCCGACTGACACCCACGCCTTCCGCCCCACAACCACGCGCCTGCGCACCTGGGGCATTCAAGTCCCCTGTGTCCCTTACCCCTGGATTCCAGAACAGCTCGGCGAACACCACCAGGTCAGCTGAGGTGAAGGTGAGGCCCATGTTGGCCGCGGTGATGGACAGCACGGCCACGGCATGCTTCTCGAAAAGCTGGAACTGCTGGCACAGGTCCTCGCGGTCAGCGGAGGAAGTCGAGCCGTCGATGCGGATGTGCGGCACGTGCTGCGGAGACAAGGAGGGAAGCGAGGTGGGCAGCACCGGGGCGGGGGACTCAGCAGCTGCGGCTCTGAGGACACAGCCACGCTGCCGTTCTGGCTCTGACCTGCCACAGCATTGAGTCCTCCCCTGACCCTGCTTTTAGAGCTAATTGTCTTCTCATTTCCGATGGAAATTTGTGTTGAGAGACTTGCAGATTCCCATTAGTTTAAGCAAACATGCAGAGATTCCTTGCACATTGGGCCCACTTTCCCCCAGTGGTAGTATATTGTGAAACTATAGTATATCACAACCAGGAAATAGACTTTGATACGATGTACCAGTCTTATTCAGATGTCCTGCTTTACTTAAACTCATATGTGCGTATCCTACCAGTGTTATCACTCATGTGCAAGGAATCTCTGTCACAGTCAAGACATTGAAAAGTTAAGGGGCACCTGGCTGGTTCAGTCAGTAGAGAATGCGACTCCTGATCTTAGGGCTGTGAGTTCAAGCCCAGTGTTGGGCACAGAGCTTACTTAAAAAAAAGAAAAGGGGTGCCTGTGTGGCTCAGTCAGTTAAGCATCTACCTTCAGCTCAGGTCATGATCCCAGGGCCCTAAGATCGAGCACTGAATTGCATTGGGCTCCCTGCTCAGCCTGCTTCTCCTTCTCTCTCTGCCTCTCTCCTTGCTCTGCTTGTGCTCATTCTGTCAAATAAATACATAAAATCTTTAAAAAAAAAAAAAAGAAAGAAAGAAAGAAAAGAAAAGAGACACTGAACAGTTCTAACACCAAAAGGATTCTTCTGTGGCCCTTTTACAACCTGAGTTGAAGGCAGATGCTTAACCCACTGAGCCACGCAGGTGCCCCTATCACCAATCTATTTCTGCCAAGCGCTCTCTTCTCAATGTGTGTGATAATCTTTTAAACACAAAGTTTTATATCCTGCTTTTCTCCAATAAACACTATATTGTAGGGGCGCCTGGGTGGCTCAGTGGGTTAAAGCCTCTGCCTTCGGCTCAGGTCATGATCCCAGGGTCCTGGGATCGAGCCCCATGTCGAGCTGTCTGCTCAGCAGGGAGCCCGCTTCCTCCTCTCTCTCTGCCTGCTTCTCTGCCTACTTGTGAACTCTGTCAAAAAAATAAATAAAATCTTTAAAAACAAAACAAAACAAAACACTATATTGGAAATAAACTAAATTATTAAGGTTTTCTAAAACATATTTATTAACGCCCGTATAATTATGTGGCAACAGTATAATTTATCCATTTGTGTATTTCTTCATATTTGGGAGATTTTTTTTTGTTTGTTTTTTAAAGATTTATTTATTTGAGAGAGTGAGAGAGAGAGAGAGAATATGAGTTGGGGGAAGGGCAGAAGGAGAAAATTTGAAGCAGATGTCCTGCTGATCACAGAGACTGACTGGGGGCTCGATCTCACAACCCTGAGATTATGACCTGAGCTGAAACCAAGAGTCAGAAGCTTGACCAACTGAGCCACCCAGGTGCTTCATTTTCACTAAAAAAAGATGAGCTGGTGAACACCCATCAACAGGTGAATGGATAAAAATCATGGTATATGCATACAACAGAATATGACTCAGCAATAAGAAGGAATGAACTGATGATATGTGCAATAACAGATATGAATCTCAGAGTATGTTAAGAGAAATCAAATTTAAAAAAAGAGTACGCACTGAATCATTCCACATTTATATAAAGCCCTAAAAATGCAAATTAGTTTAGAGTGACAGAGCAGATCTGTGATGGCCTGGAGATGGGAGGGCATGGAGAAATGGGAGGGATTTCAAAGGGCACAAGGAAACTCCTGGGGCCAACAGACACATTCACTATGGGCTTGAACTCACAAGTCTGAGATCAAGATCTGAGCTGAGATCAAGAGTCAGATGTATAACCAACTGAGCCACCCAGATGCTCCTTCACTGTCTTGATTCTTACCAAACTACACTCCACATGCAGTTCATTGCCTGCCAAGTATATCTCTATAAAGCTATTAGAATTAAAACATGTTTCTAGGATGGATTAAAATAAACATGCTCATGGTTCTTTGCCCATATTTGATTATTTCCTTAGACTACACTACTAAAAATCAAAGTACTTTGACAAAGGGAGACTTAATTTAAGGATCCTGATATTATCACCAAATTGCTTTCCAATAAGTAATGTCTGAGCACGTCCAGCTTGCTGCACTGTTATCAATGGTAAGGGCTGCACATTTTTTTCCAAATCTTCTAGAAAGATTTATTTTTATTTATTTTTTATTATGTTATGTTAATCAACATATAGTATGTCATTAGTTTTTGATACAGAATTCCACGATTCATTGTTTGTTTATAACACCCAGTGCTCCATGCAAAACGTGCCCTCCTTAATACCTATCACCAGGCTAATCCATCCCCCCACTCACCTCCCCTCTGAAACCCTCAGTTCGTTTCCTGGAGTCCACAGTCTCTCATGGTTCATCTCTCCCTCTGATTATTCCCACTTCATTTTTCCCTTCCTTCTCTTAATGTTCTCCATGCTATTCCTTATGTTCCACATATAAGTGAAACCATACAATAATTGTCTTTCTCTGCTTGACTTATTTCACTCAACACCCAAAAAATAGATAATCAAGTCAAAAAATGGGCAGAAGACATGAACGGACACTTCTCCAAAGAAGACATACGAATGGCTAACAGACACATGAAAAATGCTCAACATCATTAGCCATAAGGGAAATTCAAATCAAAACCACACTGAGTTACCACCTCACACCAGTTAGAATGGCAAAGACTGACAAGGCAAGAAACAAATGTTGGGGAGGATGTGGAGAAAGGGGAACCCCTTACACTGTTGGTGGAAATGCAAGTTGGTGCAGCCATTTTGAAAACAGTGTTGAGGTTCCTCAAAAAGTTAAAAATAGAGCTGCTCTATGACCCAGTGATTGCACCAATGGGTATTTACCCCAAAGATACAGATGTAGTGAAAAGAAGGGCCATCTGTACCCCAATATTCATAGCAGCAATGTCCACAATAGCCAAACTGTGGAAAAAGCCGGGATGCCCTTCAACAGGTGAATGGATAAAGAAGATGTGGTCCATATACACAATGGAGTATTACTCAGCCGTCAGAAAGGATGAATACCCACCATTTGCATCAACATGGATGGAACCGGAGGGGATTATGCTAAGCGCTGCACATTTATAAAACCTCTGCTGATGTGATAGGTTAATTTTCATTTATTTGATTTTCAGTGGAGTTGAATTTTTTCATCTCAGGTTCTTAAAGGCTCCTGTGATCTCCACGAAGTTAAGAACGATGGATCTACATTATTATGTTTTATGGCTGAACAGGCTCTTATTTAACAGAATACCTATTGACAAACACTTAGGTTTATAATTATTTGCTATTATAAATAATAACATCACTAATCTTATAAATAAATCTTTGGTCTCATTATTTCCTTAGGATAAGTTCCTAGAAGAGGAGCTTGGAAAAATTTGAGTGTGCCTTAAGTTACTGCCAAATTGCCAAGAAAAGGTGCCAAATTGCCAAGAAAAGGTACCAAATGTATGAAACCCCCCATGGTCTAGCCACTGTGTATATGTGTGAAAGAACAGATCCATAGTTCTAGGTAATTTAAGCCAATTTTCTCCTTTGTGATTTCTTTCACTGTTTTTATGTGTAGAAAGTCTTCCCCACCCAGTGATCAGCTATATATTCATCTATAGTTTCTTCTAACGCTTTATGGTCTTAATGAGCTTTGGTTTGTCTGAGATTTAATAAATAGTGAAGCTGAGTTTCATTTAAGTATTCCACCCAATTACTTAGTCAATTACCCAAACTTTATTTGTTGAATAAATTAAGCTTAATTTTTGATGACTCCTTGATTATACTTTTTCTTAATACTACAGGACTATTCAACTAAAGAGTTATTAATACTGAAGAGGGCTGTCCATTCTATTCCACCCTTCTGACCACCATTTCTTGGACTAGCATGGCTGAGTTTTATAACAGATTTTAATATCTGGAGGCACAAGTCTATCATTTTTCTTGTTTTTCGAAGTTGCCTTAGATAGCTCTCCTCCTTATTTTTGAGACTCCTTTAGCATAATAATATAAGGTTCCTTCCTTTAAAATACCCAATTGACATTTTTATTTGAATTGAGTTAGACCTACAAACTCATTTGGGAAGGACCAGTATTTTACAGTGTTTGCACTGGAGCATGGCCCAAGTCCCTCCAATTCATCAGTCTCTACACTCTTTTTGGTGAGGTTACTATTAGGTGCTTTATATGTTTTTGGTGCTCTGAATTTGATCTTGTTTTCCACTGTATTTACTAATTAGTTATAGCTGGTACATTAAAAAAGCTATTTATTTTAGTATATTTATTTGGAATCTAGGCACCGTATTAAACTCCTACACATTTTGATAGTTTTCTAATTAACTGTCTTGAGTTGCTTGAATATAGTGACAGCTCTGATTTTTCCTTTCCAGGGATCATAGCTTTTAATTCCATTGGCTGGCTTCCTGGATCACAGCATATACAAAATTCAAACCCAGGTGTATTAATGAACCACCTCTAAAATTCTCAGGAAAAAAAAATCACAGGAGAATATCTTTATGACCTTAAGTAAGGAAAGATTTCTTAACTCACTCATAAAAATTAAAAACCATATAGGAAAAACTAATAAACTTGAAATGTATTTCATTTATAACAACTAAAGCAAAAATTAAACTTTGCTCAATAAAACTTCAACAAAACGAAAAGAAAATATTGTTAACTGATAGATACCCAAAACTTATAGAGAATATTTCTAAATCAGTAAGAGAAAGATCATCTAACAGGAAAACAGGCAGAATATTTATAGAAGACACCCTGAAATCACCACTAAACATATAAAAAGACACAACTGTGAGTGGTAGTCAGGGAAATGCAAATGAAAATAAGAATGAGCTGAGATTTCATTTCACTGGCTTGGCAAAAGTAAAAAGTCTGATAATACTAAGTGTTAGTGAGCACTCAGAACAGCAGGAATTTCCAAATGCTGCTGGTGCGATTACAAATGTGAATTACCACACCTTGCAGAGAAATCTGACAATACCCAGTAGAGCTGAAGACAAGCCTGTCCAATGGTTGTGCAACATCACGCCTGGACATGCCCACATGCATACACATACGTGTACGTGTGCACGTACACACATGTATGTGACAGTATTCATATAATAGCAAAAACTGTAAGTAAAATTCCATGTCTCTCACCAGGAGAATGGATAAACTGTGCTACAGTTACCCAATGAGATCCTATTCCGCAGTTATGGCGGATGACCTATAGCTATAATACTACACGGAAAAATCTCAAAAATAACATTGAGCAAAAAGGTAAATTTCAGGATACTCACACTATGCTGCCATTTACATATGTTAAATACATAGAGGAGACTATATATTAAGAATACATACTTTTGGAATAAAATATGACAACATGGAGAAAAGGACTAGGGACAGTGGTTACATCTGGTGGGGAGGACAGAGAATGAGTTAGATGGCTGCAGAGGGGCCTAAGTATGTTATTACTTAACATACACACTTTGAAATAAATATAGCAAAACACTTAATTTATTAAATCTATAAAATCATAAATATTGAAATAAATATAGCAAAACATTTAATTTATTAAATCTGGGTGGAGAACATGTAAGTGCCTGCTGTATGTTTCTCTGTACTCCTCTCTATGTTTGAAACATTACAGGGGTGCCTTTAAAAAAAAAAAAAAAAGCAATTTATGGTCCTAAATTTAACCAAAAATGAAAAGGGAGGTAAAAATACAATGTGTTTAAACTGTCCTGATTTAATTCTACATGCAGAAACTGGTGAAGATCGGGCAACATTTCCATAACTGTTACAACTTCACAAGTTTTGTTTATTTGATGTGTTTCGTTTTAATGAACATCCTTGGAAATCTTTCTGGATATTTTTCATTCAATGTAGTAAGGACCACAAACTCTGTACTGAAGTCTGCATGTAATCCATGTAGAATTAATGAAGCCACTTTGATGGTGCTAAGGAAGAACAAGAGGAAGAGAGGAGGGTATTCAAGCAAATACTTGTTTCCACACAAGAGAATTTCCGCTACCTCCTTTCTTGACAATCTTGTACTTATTTACAGAGTCATGAAAGAGCTCCTGGTCCCAGCGGATCCTTGTTTTGTTTTTTTTTTTTTTAAGATTTTACTTATTTATTTGACAGACAGAGATCACAAGTAGGCAGAGAGGCAGGCAGAGAGAGAGGAGGAAGCAGGCTCCCCACTGAGCAGAGAGCCCGATGTGGGGCTCGATCCCAGAACGCTGGGATCATGACCTGAGCCGAAGGCAGAGGCTTTTAACCCACTGAGCCACCCAGGTGCCCTGCAGTGGATCCTTGTTCTTAAAGCAAGGCTCCAGCGCTATCTGTAGAGGGCAGGAAGACGTTCAAGGACACTGCTGGGAAGTAGTCTGACCCTAGTGTTGTTCTACAAGCGAGAATTCTTTGGAAAGTCTTCGGCAATGTTTCTGGAAACATCACCTCACTTCTTTGGTTCAGACCTGCCCTCAACCTGCTCAGAACAACTCAGCAGCCAACACACAAACAACAGAAGCATCCTGTGTTGAATTTCGAAGGGAGCTTACCTTTCTCTCAAGCTCTGTTGTAATTGCACTCAGGACTACCTTGTGGTGTGCGAACACTAGAAACTTCTCTCTCCCACTTTCCAGGAGGTCCAGGATGTATTCACTGTGTTGGACAATGAGAGCACAATAAATTTAATATATACTTGTCTAGCTGAAATTATTCCACTGCATCTTTACCAGACACCTTCGAGGTAGCTGCTCTCCCCTGCCCTTTCCCTCTTTCTCTGCGAGCTGACCTCTCACCCCCTTCCCCTCAGGCCAAGTCACCTGAGTAGCAGCAGCCAAATTAGGAGCTGCTCTGTGCAGAAAGAGTTCTTCCCTGCTTTTAAGTCATCTCCCATATGCAGATAAATCAAAGTATCGTTCCTTTTTATGTGTCTCTGATATGTTACTGAAAGTTTCTTACTATCTGGGATCACAGAAGATACATACCAGTTTTCACTTTCGCTGCTACTATCAATATAATGTGTTTTCAATACAAATTGAAATGTCGCCTAAGAACTGAAAATGTCTAGGCAGGGGATTAGGGGACTTTAGACAGTAATCAAATTTCTGGAAGTGTAATATTGAAACATAAATAATAGTACTGAAGAGATAGTCGGGGAAAGCTCCCCAGCTCCCTCACACAGTGGACGGCAAGCTACAGGGCCACCAGCTAAATCGGTGGTAAGGGAATTTTTTTCTGAGGCAAAGGAAGATGGAGCGAAGAACTTTATTTGCTTGCTCTTTATTCTCCCCTTGATTTACTTCTCTCCTGCATCACTGTTTTTTTCTTGACTCCCCCCCGTCCCCACCATCTTCAGCCATGGCCTTGAAGGAGGGCAGCTATGCCAGGCCCTGGAAGGGGTGGGGATCACCCAGTCGGCAGACTCTGATGGCTTCCCTGGGATTAAGGCCCTGCAGGAGGTTCACAATCCCAGGACAGGTCACTGTTCCCACACAGGCAACGGGCAGGTAAGCCTCCTTGGACACAAACAGTAGGTCCAGGATATAGTCACTGCATTTGACAAGAAGGACTCACTTGGCCCGAGGTGATCCTCACACATGGGTGTGTCTGGGCACAGAACAGACACTACCCTCCTTGGAGAAGGACAAAATCTCAAAGGTTTCCTGTCAGGCAGGTGGTGACCCATCCTCTAAGCATCTAAGAGTTATTTTCAAGCAACACTATGGTCAACCAGGGAATGGATTTGAGTTCAATCTGTGAACAGTTGTACTAATAGAATCTACTTTAATTAGTTTGAGAGACATAAAATTTGCCATGATATAAGCAAGAAAGTTTATTGCTACAGCATCAAAAAGTCACGAGGCCATAAAATCAAGTTGGACAGCTCATTAACAACTACAGGTCCCAGTCTTCCTAGTTCCTCTCTCCCCTCTACATCTCAGATGTAGCTTTTTATTCCTATCCTTCCCGAGTGCCTAAGTTACCAGGCTGGAAATATCTGCCTACCACAATACCACTGGCTTTTATATCAAAAGATGCCCATTAAAATGAAAACAAATGAAGACAGCAAAAAGAGGAAGAAAAACAATTAGCAAAGGAAATTGGGGTTTTAAGATTTATAATCTAATTTCCACTTAAGAGTTATGTGACTCTGAGGCCCAGAGATATACATGAAATTTACTTGGTCTCTGCATTTTTTAAAAATGGGGCCAGTTCGACTTACTTGACTGATCTCATAAAGAGGCTATAAGTGTGAAATGAGTTAGCAGATGTCACAACTGGTTGGAAATTAGAAAGCACTATACTATTTATCACAGAATTTTGAAAAAGTATGTGCAAAGTATGTTATAGATGGAATTTTACACCCCCCCCCACCCCGCATATCTTGTTGAAATAATAACCCCAAGGGAAGGTTATTATAAGATGAGACCTTTGGGAAGGGTTTAGGTCACACAGGCAGAGCCTTAATGAATGAAATCAATGTCCTTATCAGAGACCCCTCCACAGCCCAAAGAGCACCCTCGCCCCTTCTGTCGAGGAGGACAGGGCGAAGACGGCTGTCTGCAAGCCAGGAAGAGGGTCCCCACCGGACACCATATCTGCTGCTGCCTTGACCTTGGATTTCTCAGCCTCTAGAAGCGTGAGAAAAAAATTCTGTTGCTCAAGCCACTCAGTGTATGGTATTTTTGTTACAGCAGCCTATACACACTAAAACCAGGTAGCACCCAAGTTTATTTATGAGGCGGCGGAATGGCCAGATTTAAAATTTCCAAGAGAAATGGGTGGTTCTGGGCCCAGCACTCAGTAGACCCTGAATTTTGTAGGTCATGAGCAGAGAGGGCGAGGGAAAAGGATCACACCCTTGCCATCTGTTTTTCAGCAGCTCGTGAGAAATGGGTTGGTGGGGGCAATTCTGATGAGTTTTGGAGAGAGAAGTTTCCAGGTTGTAAAACCACATCTGGAGTTCATTAGTCCCCTGTCTCATAAATGAAAAGGGCAGTGCCCCGAGGGTGAAGGAGAGCTGGCCAACATTCAGCAGTCTTTTTGGGGTGTGGGGATCTGAGATCTGAATCATGTGGTGAGCGCACTCTCTTACTGTATTTAGGGGTGCAGAGGGAGAGGCCGGAGAGGCTGGGGGATCTGGAGGCTGAGTGAGAGGGTGGGATAGGCTGTGTGTGTCTCAATTTATCCACATATCTTGGTCCCCACAGCCAAGCTGGCACCGCTCAACCCACGCTAAATTCATTTTCATTGTAATTAAATCACTTGGACCATTATCCTGCCAGAGTCTCACATGAATGTTAAACAATAAAAAATCAGGCAAATGCACGTCATGAGAATTGCCTCAAGTTTCTACCACAGTGAATATTTGAACATGAGTGGGTTTTTCCTTTCTTTGAGAAAGGCAGACAATTTTTCAAATCAGTGAATACATTTAAGAAGAGGAATTATGACTTCAGCCTTAGTTTAGAAGGCGGAAGGAAAACTTCAGTGTGATAATGGCCCCTTGCCCGTATCTTCTGAACAAACTTTGACAGTTGCCTTTTTATGTGGGTAAATAATGGCTGAGACATGAAGTCTTTGGAGAATACCAGAGACTCCCCATAAGGCAGCCTTCTTGGTCTTCCATGAAACTCCTCACTTGTGTCTCTAGGCAAATGACCACAGGTTTCCAATTAAGGGGAAAAGCTCACTTTAGTGTTCGGCCAGCACTACCCTCCTTGTAAGTGGCGGCAGCTCTAGACTACTGGTTAAGACAGGAGCTCTCAGGGACCCCAAACTTGACTGGCAGTGCTCCTGTGACAGGCCTTGCTCTGTGGCTGAGGAGGCTACACTGTCCTGAACTTTATACCGAAGGCAGCTAGAATTCTAGGCTCTGATCCCTTCTTGCAGAGCAGCAAAACCATTCTGGCAGATTAAGGTAATAGGTATTTCTTTTTAAAGACGAGAGAGAGACAGAGTGTGGGAGGGAGAAGTCGACACTTGGTGGCCACTTACATGACAGATGGGATTTTAGCTTCAGCTGTTCTGTTGAAGAAGAGAAGGAGGGCTTCTTTCTGCTGCCGTTTCTGTAGAAAGAGAAGTCTCGGGTTGAAAGTCTCCCAGTCTGTGAACCCTGGGATGAGCTAATGTAACTATCACCGCCTGGAGCTTTACAAATCCTAATGCCAGGTATCGGAGCTGGGAAACCCTGACTTATCCACTCAGTTAAGTCAAGCTACAGGAGCTGTAGAGACTCTAGTGTGTCACTGGAGACATGGCGATGCAGGTGCTCTGTCAACTCCCAGCAACTGCTGAGAACAGCCAGTGAGACCAGCAACATGAGAGCCCTTGGGAAAGGCGTCTCAGCCATGCTCCGCCATCCACACAGGCCCAGAGGATCAGCTGAAATGCTGTGAACCACTTCCTACAGCCGGCTGACAGCTTACACACGACACTGGCCCAAGCTGCTTTCTGCCTCCCCTTTTTCTTCTGCCACGTTGTGTCCATACCCAACTGACGAAGCTTCCTTCTGTCCAAGACTTACTGAATCAGTTCCAACTGACCCCGACTAGTCTCTTCTAGTAACATCTCAAAACCATTATTCACGTGTCTTTAGGCCTGGCTCCCATGTTAGGTCACTGACCTTCCAGGAGAAGAAACCATGTTTTCTTTACAGTTGGCATCTAAATAAATACTAGTCAAGGACGCTAGCACAGGAGACAGACAGTTTCACAATATTATGAGAAAACATTTACTATCACTCTGGGCCTCCAGAGATGACAGACACCCTTACCATCACTGGTAGTGTGGCTCTCTCCTTCCACTAGCAAGTGTGGATTACAGATGCCCTTGGGGCCCGGTGAGGCCCTGACTGACACGATAGTTCCTTCATGTAACACAGAAGGGAGCCCACAGCTATAAGATCCGTGGCTCTGAAGCCAGGCTGCACCTTAAACAACAGACACCACAGGTGGTGGGACAGGCTGCTTGGTCCAAATGGCTTCCCGCCTCCCACCAGTGTCTTTCCTCGAGGACCTGACAAGAGACAAGGAAGATAACCTGCAACCACAGAAAGCTGGGGGGCCACCGCCAGGCTAGTGGGGCCATGTCATTGTTGTAGCGGTGGTGGTTGCCTTGTGACAGAGGTCCAGCTGAACTCTCCTGAGAACTCTTGTTGGAGATGCGACCCCATGACAGTGTGTCTTAAACTCTTTCTTGGCTACAGACCCAGTATAGATTCTGATGAAGCTCTGGACACACACGACTCTTCCCTTCTGCACGAAGGGCTCACAGACATTCTGAGGTGCATTCACGTCTCCTTTAAGGGTCCCTCACAGCAGGCCAGGCCCTCTAACATAATGTGCTCCCTGGTAGGATACACCAAAGGGACAGAGCCAGGTTCCCCGGCGCTGACCTCATCCGCACTGGGCATGCCTCAAGGAGAGTCGTCCTGTCTTCACACTGACTCCCGTGCCCTTCGGAGATGACCCCCTGCTCCCGTGAGGTCTTTCCCTCTCACCCTCACTCGCTCCCGCAACACCTGCTAAGCAGAGAAGGAGAGGGCGGAACAAACAGATGGGCGAGCGGCATAAAGAATGCTGAAAAACCTCTCCTGTTTGAGATTCGCCACTGAGCGCGGATGAGGTGTGGGGAGCAAACCCCCTATCACACTCGGCTGCGGGGTCGGTCTGGGGGGCACCTGTGGGATGCTTCCAAGTGTGCCCAGCCCTGGGACACAGCAACTCACTCCTTCACGTCTACCCTCACCATACAGTCCATCTTCATAAATTCCTACGGAAGCTGCCTTCTCAGTGTCTGGTTACTTCGAATAGGGAGCTGATAACCCAAATGTCCAACTCAAAATTACTGGCATAATTCTAATATGGCCATGGGAGAAAAACACATATTGTGCTTAAAAGGAACATTTAACGACACAGAGAAGTGCTCAGGATGGAGTTTTGTAAACCGTTTTCCTCCCCACCTGATAGATGTTTATAGGGTATCAATTCTGCTTTTAAAAATGTTACTTATTATACACGTAAAATTATATCTGTATCTATGTATAAGTGTATACATAAATAATGCATAGTTTAAAGCAAAATATACATACAGTTTATAGAAAAACTACCCAAATGACAGATGCCAAAATTATATGATATAAAAGACAGGTGACTCTTGTTCACAGAACAGCAATAAGAAACACTTAATCGATGTTTCTTTTAAGTACTTTTCTTCACCTTTCAGATTTTATGCAATAGACAGCTATTTTAATGTAGGAGAGATCAATAGTTTTATCTTAAAAAAAAACAAAACAAAAAACGCAAACCTCCCCAAAACTGAGTAGACACAATACTATTGCATTAATGATCTCACTTCTTCTGCCAGCCACGGGCCAGGAAATTTCAAATAACCTGTGTTCTTTGTTCCTAGGCTTTTACTAAATTAGACCCACTGGGGTTTTGAATTTATTTTTTCTGCTGGAATTTGAATGCATTGTCGAACGGCAGAAGGGTGAACTGATACTGTCACCAGAAGTCTGTGTGGACTTGTTCTATTTTTCTGTTCCTGGTCTTGCTGATCAAAAAATTACTATAGACAAAAGAGGATTAGTGTCAGCTTTTCTTAGCCTGTGAAGAGATAGCTATTATTTCGGCTGAAAATAAGAAAGAGCTTTCATTGTACATTATATTTTATAAATGGGCCGCTTCACCTTGGCTTCTGTGATTAAAAGCTTTTGAAAAAATGTCTTCCTCCAGATGGGAAGGTGTGAGGGAAGGAAGAATCGCCCATTTCAGCAGTGCTGCACTGGGACCACCACCAAGGGCAACTCAGCAGGGAAACTTGGGGCTACAAAGTAACTTAAAAGTGGGAGGGGCAACTTTCTGTAGATTCACAGGCTTTCCTGACTTGCCTAAAACCATAAAACCACCAACCCCCATTTTCGCTTTTTCAACTCAGGACTTCACAGCCAGTCCCCAGTGGAAGGGGTGACACCCCACTGGAAGGGGTGTCAAGGGCTACCTGGCTGGACTTCCAGCTGACACCAGCTCCCCATCCTGAATTCAGGGAGGGTGTTACCTCCGATCAGATCCACAGCAGACAGATGTACTACATCAGTGGCTTTGGAGGAAGAAAGGTTCTAGCGGTCCAAAGGGCAAAGCTCCGAAATTCATTTTCTACTTGGATGTTGGATCATAAAAATGAACGGACATTAAAGAACACAAAAGGGAACCAATTTATTAAGGACTTATCGGAAAGAATGTAGTATCTGTCTTCAGCGTCACACCGCAGGTTATCTGTACTGACTCAGTTTCTCTCTTTTAGGAACCAACTCCTAATTTTCCCAAGATGCCAAGAAAACAGCAACTCCCGAGAATTGGGCTGAGAAGAGCTCAAGACCCTTTCTTTGCTGGAGTCTTAAATTCCACTGCAATCGAGGTTTTTCATAATCTGCACAACAGTGTACAACTCTGGGGTGAAGAAGCAGAGAGAACAACCACCCAGCAGGAGGGACTCAGAGTGACTTATGCTGTCCTTGGGGACTTCTCCAGCGCCAGGCCTATGAGGCACATTATAGCTCCCCTTTTTAGGTTAGGAAAATATCAAAATATCCCAAAGAATTTAGGGGATTTACATAGCTACTAGAAGTTATAAAAATACCCAACATTCCTGATTTCCATGGCTTAGCCTAGTAAATTTCACATTATTGCCTATAAACTCAGCAATCAAACTCCAGGTTGCATCTGAAATCATCTTTAAAAAGAGCCCCCTAACCTAAGGGAAGGAACTATATAAACTGGCAAAAAATTTTAAAAATGCTTTCAAACCTTGCTGCACTAAGTTAAAAATTTCCACACCTTTTGAGCTACATTGCACAATTTGAAGCTGCCCCCTGGCCACTCGATACACTGTTCCTCTTCAGTTTAAATGCCTACTGACCCCTTTTTCTGTGGTCTATACTGGCTGGCCTCTGCCTAGTTTGGGAGGGAGACCAGGGATAGGTGAGGAGGTCCTCTGGGGAATTCCACGAAATATCGATAGGCTTACTTCCACCACACACCCAAGCAACTAAAGTGTAAAATAATTATAAACATTCAGATCTTTGCACCTAAAAATATCCCACATCTGAATTTTTCCCATTAATATTATATTTGCTATACTTGTTCACTGGTTTTCCTGATGGCAGAGTTCACTCGTGGGCAACAGTTAGTAGACATAACAGATTTAAGAGAATTATAAGGGAAAGCTTAAAACTGAGTAAAAGGATTTCCATTCAGGGGTAGGGGTGGCTCAGTCGGTTGAGCGGCCAACCCTTGATTTCAGCTCAGGTCCTGATCTGACTTGTGAGATCAAGCCCCAAGCTTGGGATTCTCATTCTCCCTCCCCCTCTGTCCCTCTCCCCAGCCCTCACTCTCTAATAATAAGTAAATCTTAAAAAAAAAAAAAAAAAGGAATTTCCATTCATTGAATTTTTATCCCTAGAAATTAGAAAAAGATGGTACACCAGCAGTGATTTTGGCAACAGAATACCTGCTTCTCCTCGGGTTCTCCTGAAATACAGTTTGAGAACCACTGGTCCATGTCTCCACATCAGTGGCAAATGGGGAATATTGTTAGAAAACCCCACAGCAAAGAGATTATGCCTGCTCACTTCCTCCAGACTACCCAGATTATTATATATAATACACCATAAACTACATACAGCTTGACAACTTACCAGTGCATCTTCTACCCTACACTCTTGTTTCTTAAAAGTTACCCAGTGGTCTTGCTCATAACATGGTAAAATAACATAGAAAACCCCACGCATTCTGTCTCTTGTCATTCTTATTTATTTTGTGCTCTCCCAGAAGGCTGGGATCTCATCTTTTTTTTTTTTTTTTTTTTTTTAAAGATTTTATTTATTTATTTGACAGAGAGATCACAAGTAGGGAGAGAGGCAGGCAGAGAGAGAGGAGGAAGCAGGCTCCCTGCCGAGCAGAGAGCCCGATGCGGGGCTCGATCCCAGGACTCTGAGATCACGACCTGAGCCGAAGGCAGCGGCTTAACCCACTGAGCCACCCAGGCGCCCCTGGGATCTCATCTTGATGTAACTGTCTTTATACAGGGTAATAACAAGCCCAGATAATGCTTTATGATAATGTCAAAAAATGTCAATGACTGTTATTTTCTTGGCAATGAAAACGGCAAGGTTTTATCCCAAAAGGACAGAAATGGAGCTAGTGTAAATTACTTTACCGCACTTAGCACAGTGTGACACTAAAGACAGATACAAAAGTGTTTTGAAAAGATAAAACCACCGTAGTTTTAAGACCTTAAAATGGAGGGGTAACAGGCTTGGTTACAGCCTCAGTTCTGCCATGGAGCAGCTGTAAGACTTTGAGGAAATCACATTCTCTGTGGGCCTTAGCTTCCCTTTTCTATGAAATGGGGATACCAGCTCCTTGCCAATCATAAACGACTATAATAAGGATTAAGGGCTAAGAGGATTTGAAAACCCTACTTTTGTTATGTAAGTGTCGATTTGTTATTTTGATTTAAAGAAGGTTAGGGTCGCCTGGGTGGCTCAGTGGGTTAAAGCCTCTGCCTTCGGCTCAGGTCATGATGCCAGAGTCCTGGGATTGAGCACCATATCGGGCTCTCTGCTCAGCAGGGAGCCTGCTTCCCCCTCTCTCTCTGCCTGCCTCTCTGCCTACTTGTGATCTCTGTCTGTCAAATAAATAAATAAAATCTTTAAAAAAAAATGTTAAAAGAAGGTTAACATATGTAACAAATATTCCTAGAACTAATTTTTAACTGTTACTAGACTGAGTAACAGTTACTAGACTTTAAGGCATTCTCAAAAAACACCACACATAAATTCCAGTTGTCCTTGGGACATTCTGAATATACATCACCATTCTGCAGTTGCCATGGGGTTTACTTTTATGACCATCTGTCAATAGTGATCTACACACATACAAAACCACAAACGAGGAAGAGATTTTGGAAGCAGACTAGGTCGGCTGAGAGATGACATGGACTCACTATCCTTGCCCAGGAGCGTGGGGAAAGGCCCGGGAATGCCAAGTTCAGAGAACTCTGGGTAACCCCTGCAGACCCCCTCCCAGGAAGGAACAGCTATGGACACATGGACTTCCAAATCCCCACCTCAAGCCCCAGACTCACAGTTTTGTCCGTGGTGGTCATCTCCTTGGCCGCGGCATCCAGGGCAGCCCTGGCCCTGGTGCTGATCCGGCCGGGGGCAACGACTACCATCTTGCGCTGCTTAGGCGGGAGCTGGGCAAGGACGTCGCTCTTGAGGCGTCGTAGCATGACTGCCTCCTCCAGCAAGAGCTTCAGCTCGCCAAGGTTGGAGGAGCCTGAGTAATCCCATCCCCAGGGATGCTGTGAAGGGAGAACCAAAACACACAGCCAGTTAGGTTCTCCTAGGGCCAAGCTAACTGGGCTGCAACTGCGGCGGGCTCATGAGGACCTCTCCCTGTGGCTTTGCTCAGAGAATTTCAGGTGGCTCTAAAGGATGAATGAAACCTTATATAATACAGATGGGAATGAGGAAGAAAAAGAGAAAGTCTGGAATAAAACGAACTAAAAACATCTATCTTGGTATTCTACATGCTGAATTTTCCAGCAGCAAATTCAAGACGCTGAGAGCTCCGGTGTCCATTACATTTAAAAACAAACAAGACGCTTTGCTTGTCAGACTACTCCTGTATTCTAAATAAGGAAATCGTCTTCCCCAGGGCTTATCCTGAAGTCCACTGCATGTGGTAATAAATCACGTTTTTTCAGTAATAGCCTTCTTTGAGGAGATGTATTGAGATTTACAAAGCTGCTATTCCTCAGCACAAGCTAGCCCAGCACAACAAAGCTGAGCTTGGTTGTTCAAGTGAGATGAACACAGTGTGTTGCTGCTGGTGGTGGGGATTGAAGGGAGGAACCGCGAGCACAGGCTTTGGCTAGTCTGCCTGAGACCAGAGGTGGGTTTAAGGGTACCCAGGCAGTCCTTCATAAAAATGGTTTCTTCACTTAGTAGCTCATGGGAGGCAATGAGCAAGAATATCTATTCCGTCACACAGCTAGAGAAGATGTTAAAATGAAAACCGTGTCTTGCGCTAACAATCTTATTCAAAATAGAACCAACATCTACAGTCCTGCAGAAAATGAGGTGATGTATATTCTGCTGCTTTATGTTTCCAGCTGTTGTCTCCCTTCCTGTCTCCACCTCCCGTGACCATAAACCGCCTCAGGTAGAAGCTAGGCTTGTTCAATTTCAATGGTCAGTGGACCTAGTCTCCAATGGTGAAGACATGGCAGGTGTCCTTTGCTAAACAGAGAACAGAAAGAGATGGTCAAAGGCGGAGAAGTAAAATGATCAAAAACTGCTTCTTCTTTAAGAAAACACTCTGAAATCAACTAGAAGTTCTCAGCAACTGTCTTCAGGCAATGGGGTCGAAAATGAGCTCAGCAGGGGGCATTCTCTTCAGTGGCTTCTCTCAATGCAAGAAGCTAGTCACAGTGAAAAAAAAAAAAAGGCAGCCCTGCTATATGGGCTGCATTAAATAAAAATCTTACTGGGAACAAGCAGATACCATAATTAATTTGGATAGCTTGCTCCTATGTCAGCTTTTAATCTTGTAGGTTAAAACCCCATATTACCAAAGATTTAAAATTTAGAATATTCACAATCCAACAAGCTTTTACTGAAAATTTACCCTGTAGCAGGCACTGGGCTACGTGGAAGGAGAGGAAGGCACTGTCTGTGTTTGTTTTCTTGGTTGTTAGTGGTGGGGAGGGGGACGCAGTGAGACGGAGAGAAAGGATGAATTTAATAAGGGTGGCATGAAGACTGGAGGGATGGTGGGCAGAGACTGGGGACATGGGAAGGGACAGTCTGGGAGTAAAGGCAACAAATTCTGTCTTTGGCCCCTACCGTCACTAGCTGATCATTATACCATGAGCCTAGATAGCCAAGGAAGAAAAGATCTTTTCCAGAAAGTGGGTCACTTGCAAATAGGACGGAGGTACGAATCACTCATGACGAGTTTTGCGGGACCATGACAACCATGTGGAATCTAATCTGGACTGATTCACGGGGAAAGTGCATTACGGATTTTGTTAAAGAAGTGTATGGCTTTAAATACATTTAATAACAGAAATTTCCTGCCTCAATAAGCGGCTAAAAATGGTTTGCAATTAACTTCGCAAAGCACTACAATTTACATTATAAGTACTTTGTTTGAATGTAAATGGGTATTTTTAAAGTACTTGAAAAGTTTTTTGAAAAAAGTACTTAAAAAATAAGGCAGACAATCTTATTTACATCACAAACTTGCATAGCAAGGCTTTTTCCTCAAGATGGCATGCGTCATGGGTAAGCAACAGCCATTTCTCCAAAGTGTCAGCATCTTCGATGCAAATAGTGGCTCAGTATGCTTGTCATTTGATCACAAAACAGGAATCCTGAAGGCCTGAACTAATGGGAGTCTTCAAGTCGGGTCGGAGCCTCTGCAGCAGGGGCTATGACCACAAGAAAAAAGGAAGGCATAGCTTGGGTTGTAGTGTCGAGGTTTACGAAGTTACAGCAGGACAACTGAGGAAAAGGAGAAGTGATCTACACTTGAGAGAGGGGCTGGAGTCTGCCGTTCTAATTCATGGCCATATGGACCCCCGTGGGAACAGAGTTTGGGAGTTTGACCTTGCGAGATGAAGATCAGCCGCTGAAGGATAAATTCACTGCCCTGGCCACTTTCAAAAACAGAGATGAGAAAGAAAAATCAATGAATCCTTCCTTGGGTTTTCCAATTGTGGAAGTTCCAGAGCCTGGGTCAGAGAGAGCTACCAGGGTCCCAGGAAGCAATGCCAGCCAGCCTGGCACACAACCCAACCGTCCTCATCTGCGAGGTCGTCAAGCAGGAGTTGGCCTTCCACCTCCCACAGCCACGCCAGACCCTGGCAGCCCAGCAAACAGATGAGCTGTATCCCACTGGCAGGTCTGGAGAGAGTGCAGAAGGCACTAGCAGCCAAGAAGGAGGAGCCCCCTCCCGAAGAGAAAGTGGCCCAGTCCCAGAAGAAAACAGCTCAGCTGAGTAAGGAAAAAAAAATGAACACCTCGGCAAACAAGCAGCTGATTCTCCATGTCATCCTTTCTCGAGTTGTTTTTGGGGAAGAACACTGGAAACGTGCACAGGCTCTGGCCAAGCCGGTTATGGCTGCCTGACACTGAGAGGTACCCCCAGCTCAGGAGACACGCTGGGGCCACCATGAACACACTGCTGACATGGAGGGAGGCATGGCCGCAGACAGGAGAGAGGAAATCGTGGGGAATCTGGTGAGGAGCCTCTCTGCTGAGAAGGACAGTGTCCCATGCTCAGCTGGCTTGATCAGACTGATGAACACTGACTGACGCAATGGCCCATCAAGAGGAATGGAGATCAGTGAACAATGTCATTTAAACATTAAAATGTTCATTTTCGGGCTTACAAAAGTAATCCACTTTGGTGTACATTATTTTCCAATCATATATGAAAGAGAGGTGCGGGGAGGAGAAGGAGGGTTTGGGAAGGAGAGGGAGATGGAGAAAGAGAGAAGGAATGAATGAATGAATGATGGGAAAAATCTCGCATCCTACTTTTTCCCCCACTCTTGTATTTCCCCAAGTCATTAAGTACTTTTTTTCAGTTAAAAGAAATCGAGGTTTTGGAAATCAAGGGTGTGATTGCAACGGCATTCACTGTTACAAGCTCCCTCTGCCATTCTTGAAGACTGAAGCTGCGGAGACCAGAGCCCCAGAGGCACCTGCCCCATTGGCACTGTGTTCCTACAGGTAATCTTTAGGTCAGGGGCACCTGCCCTGCTGGCACTATGTTCTCACAGGTAATCTGTAGGTCCAGGGCTTCTGGCCTGTTGAGCAGGCACAATTCACTGTGATGAGTCCATGTTTTGGCTGATGAGAGCCCACTGAGGCAGCTCCAGATCACTCCCCCTCTACCTGTTTCAAGGCCTCTGCTGTGTCTTCTGTGCAGAGGGTACAGGCCCCTGCCATACCCCTAGCTCACCTCTGGGCACTTCTCAGAGCTCCAGGCACCTATAAAAAAGCCACTGGGCCCCTTATCGGGAAACACTACCCTAGAATCATAAGCGTTAAAGCTAGGAAGGACTGTTCTTATTCTCAAGGACACAGGAAGGTCAGAGTTAGGGGCAAAGCAGGACGAAAATGTGGGTCTGGCTCCCTGGCCAGTGTGCTTCTGATCAACCATGGCCAAAGAGAAGGAACAAAAGGTAAGTATCAAAATCAGGGAGAGGGACAGGGTGGTGGGGGAGAGGGGTAGAGAGGGAGAAGGAAGAATAAATACCCGCTTGGCATCACAGTAGCGAAGTCCAAAAGCATGAAACTGAGGGAAGAAAGTTGGCCTGACCCCGATGATCTGGGTGTAGAGCTCTGCGGGCCGGGACATGGCCGGTGTGCCAGACAGCAGAATCACCCTCTTCGCAACCTAGAAGACAAAGAGCCAAAGGTGCTGAGAGGGCACAGAGGAGCACCTAGGGACTATCCCAAATGCCCCACTAGGATTGGAGCTGGATGTCCCAGGAAGAACAAAATTCCCCTGGAATGCAATAAGAGTACCCCTCCCTTCCCGGGCACCCTGACTGCTGGCAGTTCTGCAGTTTGCTCCTCTTGGAAACCAGGCAGATCTACATCCCAACGACTCCACAGGCTGGCCTCACTCCAGATCCTAGTGTGGCCCAAACCTGGAGACTCTAAGCAAAGGTACTGTGGCCAGAGAAGAGGAACACACATGTTCTGAGACCCTCATGGTGTGACCCATGTAAGCAGCGGGATGCTGCACCTAGGCTGGCTTTGTCACAAGTCCCTCCATCAGGACTGAGCATGTGATATTGAATTCCAACCTCTCCATCTCCCTCACTGCGAGCGTCTTGAGATCAGGGCTGTGGTCACCTCTATCTTCTGAAGCACTTAAAAATGTTTGCTGTATGCTGAGAAATATTCCGCTACCCAATGTCCCTGGGGAAGATAGATAAACTCCAAGAATCCAGCACTGGAAGAGCAAGTGGAAGTGGCGGGGAAAGGAGGTCTGACCAGCCTCCAGAGCGGATCTCTGATATCGGGGTTGAACTTCCGGTCAGATCCTGACACGGAGGAGCCAGCCTTTCTCACCGCCAGGAGGCAGAGTCGGGGTGGCCTGTGCACCAGCCTCTCCCTGATTTTCTTCGGAGGAAAAAAAGGCTGTCGCTAACTCAGCTGCACAATGCTTTGACCCCAGAGCTCCCTAATTTCACTCATTTTGCAGGTAATTAGGACTTTCAAAAGGGGGACACAGGTCCATTTACCCTAAACTCAGCCTGTGTGTGCAGCAGCCTGCTCAGCAGTGGGCAGGATGGAAATAAATGGTCGATTCCAATGATGAACTCCAGGTTCCTCACTTGGCTAGACCCCAACCTGACCTGAGGAGATCAGACCTAAGTACTGCACCTCTTCCTAAGATGGGAAGGAGGGTGAGAATAAAGAAGACACCCCCCACTGTATTAGGACACAGAACGGCCAAAAATTCTTAGAAGTAAAATCCATTTCAGCCCTGTTGTCTACAAACACCTTGTTAACCACTGTAACCTTGAGTTAATGAGGAGAGTATAAGGCAATAGCAAGCAGTAAATCACCTAGGGGAGAAAATGAGGTTTTCAAATGGATATGCTGCCTCATAAAATAAATAAATAAAGGTGCAACAGAGGGAAGAAAAATGTTTCTTTATAAATATACAATCTATACAACTCCCAAGACGCACTTTTGCCCTCACAGTGACTGGCAATACCTAATTCCATTATGACAGGAGAGCTCTGAATTTCTCTAGCTATAATTTCCCACAGTTCAATTACCAAGGCTTCTAATTTCCTACACGGTTTAATGCAGCCTCATTAAAATAACAATGAGCTTCTCGAATGACGTCTGTAGCATCCCTTGCCATGGCTCAAGACTGCTTCAATGAAACGGGGAAAATGAGAAGTCTTATCAATAAGAGAAAATCGGCCTATCATCCCAAACCAATTCCCCACATCGCTGCTGCTGTCTGGGGATGGAGCCTGGGTGGAGACAGCTCACCAATCAGGTGATGGAAAATAACTCCCAGGTTCTCGGCTGGTACTTACAGGACAGAGTTAATTCTGAGCCCATTCTCCCATACACTGCCCAGACTAGGGGTGATGTGACCATTGAAGACGGCCATTTGCGGATGCTTAAAAAGCGGAGGCATCATTATGGAAAAAGAAAAAGGCAAGCCTTGAAAAGAAACCAGAACAGCGTCTTTTTTATTCTGGAATGATTTAGCCTGCTCCCCACGCAGCCCCAACAAGTTGGTACCGTCATCACTGTCGTCCAAACGGTCTTTAATCCTGCCCAGCTGCCCATGATTTGTGGGCACCCTCCACCTGGAGAACCTCCAATTCCGGAAAACAGAAATGCATAAAACTATGTAAGTCAACACAGAACGGAACACTTTACAGTCAATTCCTCTGGCTAACAAAAGAGCAGCACTCAGGAAACCCATCATGGAGCGATGCAAAACAGTCATTTCTGTGTGATGTCTGAGAGAAATGGTGTGATTCACAGGAGCAGACGCCACTGGGGGCAGATGACCCTCGAAGACAGGTTCAGTCTCCTCAGAGATTAAGGTCATCAGTTCAGCCCTGAGGAACAAGTTGCTAGCAGGACAAGTTAGTGGATGTAATTTGCCAAGGAGAATCCAATCCAACTCAGAGTAAATAAACTACACACAGATCTTGGATCAGCCAAGAGAATGTTCTGTTGCAAAGAAGAGCTGAAATTGTTAAGTTCATACGAGAAACAGCCTGGGAATTCTTCATCATTTTCTGTTGTTACATCTTTTTTTCCAACTTAGCCGATAACTTGCTTTACCAAATTATTCTGATGGGGTATAACACACCTCAGCAAGACTCAAGACTGGGGAAAGTCATGCTCCCCAAAGCGGCACCCCATTCTTGCCCCATGTTATTCCTAATGGTACTCTAAATGAAGTCTGGTCTATAGGTGGAGTCCCCTGTGATTCAGAAGTACCGCTTGAGAAGGCTGGGGACATCAAAGAGAAGGTCACGCCCATGCCACCCAAGTGTCCTGATACACACAAGCCCCATGTCACAGGGACGCTGGAGCTACGCAGTCACGACTTCAGCAGTCATCATAAAATCTTCAAAAACAAGGAGAACGGCAAACACAGGTTGGGGGCATGGGACCAAAAGTACACAGATCAAGAAGAAAGGCAGATCACAGGCACGAGCCAAGAAGCAACAGAAGAGTCAACACCCGTGGTTAAATCTAAACCCTGAGAATAAGAGGGAAAACTCACTCTTCAAGAGCCATCCAGTGACTGGAATCTGGGAGAAGATCGAAGTTCTTCCCTCTCTCCGGGACACGCAAGGCCAAACCAAGACAAACGGCATCATTTACGGCCTCTGTTAACCAGAAGCCACTCCAGGGATCTGCAGAGGGCCACCTACGGCCCAATGATACCTCATAAATGGCCTTTCTGACTCCGGTTGGGTCAGCATATTTCACATAAAACGGTTCCTTCTAGGATCCAGCCTTCTCCCAAAAGGAGACAAAGCTCCAGTCACAAGTCTGAGTGCTACTGCCAGCACCAAACTGATTTGCACGGGAACTGGCGTGCTTTCAAGGCAAGCAAGCGTCATTGCTTTGACATTAGCGAAATACTGACGCTACGTAAAAGGTAACGAGTTCTGAGGGAAGAACAGAAAGAAGGATGTGACTATAAGTGTTCTGGTTCAAAAATACCAAAATGTACGAGAACACATCCAATGGCATAATTACAGCTAAGGAAAGTTACGTTGTTTCAAGGCATGCATGGGCATAGCTGTTATTAATCTAACACAGAGGCTCAAATTAAATATTAAGTACATTTTTTTCCTCTGGAAAAAACAGTCTATTTCCCTTAAGTGTGAGACTCCAGTAATTTCCTTCCTGATTCTGTGATAAAATGGAGGAAATTCACCAGAACGGCAGGACCACAAGGGACTCCTCCTGCAGCCTCATCACACTGGGAGAGCGGACCCTGCCAATGACAGCACTTTCCCTTCGGGCTGAGAGGGACCAAGAGCATCTCTTCTAGACGCGGGGACACTGGGTTTTCTACCACGTGCTTGCATACGATGTGAAAAGATGGTCATCACAGTACTGTATGTAATGGCTGAAGACTGGTTACAAACGCATAAAAAGACAGCAGATGATATGTATTATGATATATTTACACAATACAATACTATCTGCAAGAATGAGGTTGAGTCATCCGAAATGAGGTGGGATGATTTCCAAGATACACTATTCACAGAAAAAAGGCTGGAGCCTTTTTATAAGGAGGGAGGATAAGGAGGGAGGAAGGAAACACGTACACACATGCTTAGCTGGGCACAGACTAAATTTTAGAAGTGAAAGTGAGAATCTGGTAATGCTGACCGCCTTCCGGGACAGAAATCAAGCAATGAGGGGCCCAGAGGTGGGAGAAAGAGTTATTTTTCACGGTACACCCTTTTGAATATATCATCTACTTAAACTCCTCTAATGAGAAAGGAGAAAAGAAAAAGCTCGTACATTTCAGGCCGCTCCTCTTGTTTCATTTCACCAATCAATAGAGATGTAAAAAGGACTCTTTCCACAAAAAGAAAAACAGCTATTTAGTAGGAAAGGACGGTGGGATTCTGAGGGCTTTTTCCTGTAGAGAAATAATCGAACACTGGTCTGGCAAGAAAAAGCGCTATAAATCAAAGAAAAACTCAAACACATACCTCACTGCTCTAAAATAAGAGACTGATAGCCTTCAGGTTGCAGTCTTATGGAGAAGACTGGGTGATTAGGGCTGAGGGGGAGTGAAGATGGTTATGCCTGGTCACACTGGACTTCAGAGGCATCGATCAAAAAGTGAACTCCTGGCCCAGCAATTCTGTACATAAGAATCTGTCCCACTAGGTCAAAGTGTGCAAGCTACGAATATGCTGATGACGTTCACTTGCAGAATTATTTATAAAATAGCAAAGAGATGTCCAACACTAAGGGTTAAATTATGGGATGCATCCATCCAGCAGAAGGCTCTGGAGCCATTAACAATGATGACCTTGCCCTGCAATGGACATGGTAATGGTGGTTTCCTCTGTCGGAGGGAATTAAGGTGATTTGAATTTTGTTCCTCACAGCTTCCTGTTGCCTACTTCCACACGTGTACATAAAAAACAGAACTACCTTGCTTAGTAGCCCGAACGAATAGTGCTGTGGGGGAAAAGACGTCACATTCCCCAGGGGACCACGACACCAGTTTCCTACAACCTAAGCCACGTGTGCCCCACATGTACCTTTACGAGACCCCCACTTGCAGGACACAATCTGGCCTGGCTAGCTCACACACTGTAGGATATCGCCAAGTTACCTCATCACACACATTTGCTGAACATGGCTTGAAACATTAACTCTGAGAGAACATTTCTAGGAGATGCACAAGTCAGAGGATCAAGAGGTACTAAATTAAGCCCTTATGTGGCTTTTCAAAGCCATATTTTACTTCTCCCAAGTCTCCTCTTGTTCAAAACCATTTAGGTCCATGTCTTTAGAGTATCCAGATCAGTGGTTCTCAACAGAGAGGGAGAGGAGTGATCTGCCCCTCCCAGCACATGTCTGGCAGTATCGGAAGACAATTCTGGTTGTCACCACTGGTGTGGGGGTGGCGGGGCCACTGGCGATTAGTGCGTGAAGGCCAGGCATCCTGCGAAACACCCTACGGGGCACAGGACAGCTCTGCACAGCAAAGAATGACCCAGCCCAAAGTGTCCATGTTGTCAAGCCGGAGAAACTGATCCAGATGAAAATGCAGCAGAGAAATGAAAGGTCTGGTTAGCAGAATGGCTCATAATGCCTCAGCCCTGCCTCCACTCAATCCCACCAGCAGCCTGGAATCCTGTGAAGTCAACATCTCAGACGAGAGGGGCTTCGAGACACCCCCATAAACAGCAGGCTATGTTCACGGTCCTATCCTTCAACGTGTTAACTCATCCAAGTTCTGTAGTAAGTGCAGAATCATCTAAACTAGGTAACAGCTAAAAGATTGGTCTTAAATGTATCCATTTGAAATATACCCACGATATTAAAGATGTAAATGTGGCTTTAAAAGGTCTGGCCTAGAAGTGTTATGTTTCAGAAATAAGTATGTAGTCCAGCTTGCCCAGCCAGCGACTGGTAGGCTCAGTTGGTTAAGTGTCTGCCTTCGGCTTAGGTCATGATCCCAGGATCCTGGGATCGAGCCCCATGTCGGGCCCCACATCCGGCTCTCTGCTCAGTGGACAGCCTGCTTCTCTTTCCTTCTGCCCCTCCCCCTACCTGTGCTCCCTTGATCTCTCTCTCTCTCAAATAGATAAAATCTTTTAAAGAAAAGCTTTCCTCTGCACCTGTAGTGATATACCCTACTTACTGCACAGCTGCTTCTGAGCAATCAGGGGCACAGATTTAATTCTAGGTATGGCTGTAATACTAGAACCACGGTAAGAAGATCTGCTAATGTTTCTTTTCTTTTCTTTTTCTTTTTTTTTTTTTTTGAAGATTTTATTATTTATGTGACAGAGAGAGACCCAGAGAGAAAGGGAACCCAAGCAGGGGGAGTGAGAGAGGAAGAAGCAGGCTTACCAAGCAGGGAGCCTGACATCGGGCTCGATCCCAAGACCCCAGGATCACGACCTGAGCCAAAGACAGATGCCCAATGACTAAACTACCCAGGCGCCCCCTTTTTCATTTTTTGAAATATTTTTAAAATTTATTAGACAGAGAGAGAGCACAAGCAGGGGGAGAGGCAGATGGAGAGGGAGAGAGAGAAGCAGATCCTCCGCTGAGCAGAGAGCCTGATGTGGGACTTGATCCCAGGATCCTAGGATCATGACCCAAGCCAAAGGCAGATACCCAACTAACTGAGCCACCCAGGCGCCCCGAACATTAACATTTTTCAAAAGGAAACATATTGAAGCCTCCTAAAAGGACCGCCACTCTGAGAAAAACATTTCATTTCAGTGTGTCCATAAATATTCATAGGTAATGTGAGCAGAGAATCAAGGATTTTAAGTAAAGGACTTTGAAATCTGAAGCACAGAACGTAATCCTGCTTTGGAAGACGTATCATGTTAACTTGTTATTCCTAAAACAAAAGAAAACAAAGCCTGAAACGAGTAGACAGTTGTGCTTTACAGGGGAGTTGGAAAAATTAATTTTCAAATGTTAATAAGCTTCACCAACACTGAGCATACTTGTCTTCCCTAGCTGACGTACAACGTAGAGCTTCTTTTAAGCAACGAAAGGTGCAGTTCGAAAGTGTGGCACACCACAAAGGCTGCTTTAGGAAAGCACACGATAAACACGGACTTTTGTTTGCTCAGTCTACATAAACCAAAGTAGATTCTCCCGAAGGCATCTGTGAGAGGTTTCTATCTGGCTCTGAGAAAAAGCAACTTTCCTAATTGTACTAGTGTTCCCCGATATTAAGAAAAAGCTCACCATAAAAAGACGGAAGGCAGTCTGGGGGCCTTCGCACTGTCTGGGGTGGGATGTGGGAAAAGAACACTCAGATACAGATGAGAAGCTACGCGAGGTCCACGCCACTGCCTGCTCTGAAGGTTCGACCCACCGAAGCACTCAGGCCCCAACTGAGCCCACCAGAGGAAGGGCTGTGGGTGGCTGAGCCTCTCAATGACCAAACAGGCTTAGGGAGCCCCGGGAAAAGCATCAGCTTACGAGGTAGGCCTCAGCTTTGTGGGGCTTCTTTCTGCTTCCTGACGGCCTGGTTCCAAGTCTATAGGACTCATCTCCCTTGGTTCTCAGCACCATGAGAGCTCTGCCCCCACAGAGACTGAGAAGACAGTTCCTTAGCAGGAAGTTAGGAAGAAAAACAAGTCTGGTGCTGAAGCCCGACACAGTGACAGCTGGAGTCCACGCTAAGTCATGTCCATGGCCCGCAGCCCCTCGCCTCGGATGAAAGCCTTTGCTCTCCTTGACCCCCTTGCCAGCCTGAGCAAGATACAGCGAGCCCTCAATGCTGAGTGGCCTCAAGCTCCACACCTGTTCTCCACAGGACTCACCTTGAGGAGGGGCATAGCTGCACGACAGCGGGCGGTCTTAATGTTCTTGAGGAAGTGAGACTCATCCTGAAAAGAAAGGGTCACACAGGTGAACAAGGCCAAATCCTGAGTGGATGATGGAGCCGGAGCCCACATTAACCTTGACCCTGACACGGAGCCACACTGGGGACGCCTCCCTTGGTTTCTCATTCAAGGAGAGGGTTGTGGGCCTCAGTTAAGGACCCAGGTTCTGGTGCCGCTTCCCCACTTTATTCCGGACAAGTCGCTCCATCTCTGGGGCCGCTGGCCAAGTGGGACGTGGGGTTAGTGACTCTGCCCAGCCCACCTTGCAGGCAGCGCTCAACGGGAACTGCTGAGAGATGGTTTGCTGCTTAGTAAGAAACGCCTCTCGTCTGCACAGCACGACGCCAGAGCGGGCCCACTGCGTGCCTCGCCCTGGTGTGCGGCAGTGGCGCCCAGCTCCTGCCCCCCCGGAGCTCACCAGACGCCACAACCGAGCAGACAGCGTTGTAAGTGCCTGTCACTGAGGAAGTGTGAAAAAGTACTGTGGGAACTTGAGGAGGGGGAGGAGACACAACGCCCATCCTGAAGGCACTGTCAGGTTTATCACACAGAGCTTGATTATAAGCAAACTAGAATACAGCATTTTCTCTTTTTTAAAGACTTTTTTTTCTTTTAAAGATTTACTTATTTATTTAGGAAAGAGAGAGAAAGTGCATAAGCGGAGGGGAGGGGCTATAGGAGAGGGAGAGAGAAACTCAAGGAGACACCACACTGAGCGTGGAGCCCAATGCGGGGCTCAATCTTGGGACCCTAAGAGCAGACCTGAGCCAAAACCAAGAGTCAGGTGCTTTACCTGTGTCACCCAGATTCCCCAGATACTTTACTTTTTAGTAATCTCTATACCCAACATGGGATGCAAACTCACAATCCTGAGGTAAGACTCATGTGCTCTACTGACTAAGCCAGTCAGCCACCCCTGTCGTATTTTCCAAAGCCAAATGAGTAACTAACACATTCTTAGTATTTGGGAAAGAAATTTCTATTTTGGTACACATTCAAATTACCTGCTATGGACCTGAGCACACACAGTATACATACAGGTACATACGGACCTCTCTACGGTGCCAATTTCTCCATGGATAAAATGGTAAGACACCGCTACCTGACTTACCTGGCTGCCGTAAGTCATAAGGGCTAACACACATAAAGCCCTTAGAACAGTCCTACCACCGAGCCCAGTAAGCACTCAGAGGTATGGGCCACCCTTTGATGGGGACATAGAGGGGATCCTGGCTCTATCTCGAGAGGTGATCTGCAAGAAACCTGCTGTTCCATTTCAGCTATGATGAACCAATATGGTTCTCAAAAGCACAACAGAGAGGAGCGCAAGATGAACCCGCAAATGTCAGAACATCTGTTCCTAGAAACCTGGGGTGTAACATTCGTACTCCTGTCTAACAATGAGCCCGCAAGACAGCCAAGAAGGAAACGGTTTATAGTGAGAAATAGCAGGAAAGACAGAGGATGGGGAAGGGAATGAACCCTTTTAACCAATGGGCTAAAATGTTGCACTATTATAACTAACCACCGGGAGTGGCTTCCATCTGAATTCTCTTCTAAGAAGTATGACATCTTAGAGCTGACACTTTATTCCTTCCTGTAACATTTCTCTGAAATCAGAAGAGGACAGGGCTCTTAAATAACTGAAGACAAACTAACACGGGTGGTGAGTGGCTTGCCAAAAATCATCTGGCAGACTGAAGTGTTGAGCCAGACACACATGATGCAGTCCGGCTCTGATCAGTGATGCCCCATCTTGCTGGCCTCACGCCTGTGGGCACATCACGTGAGCACTCTCAACATCAGTTCCATCAGTGGTGAAAAGGACACAGTGTCTGCCTCAGGGGCCTCGGGGAAGAGGGGCAATTACGCGTCAAGTACCTGACACAGAAGAACACGCAAGAAATGAAAGCACTGGGGCGCCTGGGTGGCTCAGTGGGTAAAGACCCCTGCCTTCGGCTCAGGTCATGATCTCAGGGTCCTGGGATCGAGCCCCACATCGGGGGGGGGTCTCTGCTCAGCGGGAAGCCTGCTTCCTCCTCTCTCTCTCTGCCTGCCTCTCTGCCTACTTGTGATCTCTATCTGTCAAATAAATAAATAAAATCTTAAGAAAAAAAAAAAAAGAAATGAGCGCATGATTCTTCCTACACACTCGAGAACCATCACTGCCATCCCAGGATACTGCTTTAAAGGTCTGCATTTCGGGCGCCTGGGTGGCTCAGTGGGTTAAGCTGCTGCCTTCGGCTCAGGTCATGATCTCAGGGTCCTGGGATCAAGTCCCACATCGGGCTCTCTGCTCAGCAGGGAGCCTGCTTCCCTCTCTCTCTCTCTCTCTCTCTGCCTGCCTGTCTACTTGTGATCTCTCTCTGTCAAATAAATAAATAAAATCTTTAAAAAAAAAAAAAATAAAGGTCTGCATTTCATGTGTATGTGGACATACTCTCAGAGCCACACCTGAATTTATGCCAAACCAGAAACAACTTCCCTAAAGACTCATTACCTTACAGCTGTGAAAACACACAGACATTTAAGTTTGCTTAGGCTAGGAACATAGTGTGGCTCTCATGTCCAAATGACAGCAGATCCCCGAGGACAGCAACTGTGCCTTCTTCCCTCCTCTAAGCTCCCACGAGACTTGGGCACTAAAATGTATCCTAATGCTCTGCACGCGAGTCTGTCTACTGGACTGTGGTATCTTGGAGAATGGGGCCGACTCTCCTCCCTCCACACCCTCAGTGTGAAACTGGTGCTCAGTGTTGGCCGAACCCATGGATGAACGAGCCTCCCTGACAGCCAGCCCCGAGCTGAGAAACCCACAGGCTCCACCGCAATCTTGTTGACTTTTCTGGACCTCCTAAAAACGCATTCCTTTCCCTCCTTCTAGATAAGACATGCAGTACACATTCTGAGCCTCAGGATTTGGGAAGCCACTGTCAGCAGAGAATTCTATTTTTAAGAGAAGGAAAATACCATGGGCTTTTAAAATTCACAGGTTTGAATAAAGAAAAACCTTACATATCATCTGGAGGCAGTGGATTCCCGTTTTGCTGAGAGGAAAAACAAAGGTAAACTTCTGAAAATCCTCCACTGGGTTCTGTGGCCCAGAACGTCTGTCAATGGTTAGCTGCTCTGGAGTTGGGAGCTGCACGCCTTTTCCTCATCTTTATTTGTGAGCCCCATGAATACACGGAGTTCTGCCACGTGGCTGGCTCCAGGCCTTTCTAGACTTTCCTCAGAGAGGACTTGAGGAATGAAAAGCAGGAAAACCAGCTGACTGAAAGAGACGCAATCTCATCTGAGAGCAGAACTTGAGTAAAGCCTACTTAAGAAAAAAACAGACCAAAAACCTGTGGTAAGTTCAGCTGGCCCTTGGACAGCGCAGGGGTTAGGGCTGCTAACACCCGCCTCCTGCAGTTGAAAGTCAGCACGTATTTCCGACTCCCCCAAAACTTAACATCTCATCCAGAAGCCTTACTGATAACATGCACAATTAGCACGTATTTTGTATGTTATATGATTACTTACTGTATTTTTCCAATAAAGCTAGAGAAAAAAAATATTTTAAAATAACCTAAGAGAAAACACATTTACCATACTGTGCTGTATTTATTGAAAAAAATTTGCCTATGAGCAGACCCACGCAGTTCAAACCCATGTTGTTCAAGGGTCAGCTGTACTTTTTTTGGTGGGGGAGGGAGGGAGTATCTTTATATTGGCTGGGAAAAAACTTACTGTTTGATCTGAGACACTTGGACAAGAGAGGCCACCGGATGAAGGCAGACGCCCCTAATGTTCAGGCTGGGGCCCAGGGCCCCCAAGTTGGCCTCTATCCATGACCTCCTGGCAGGGAGATGGGCTGCAACCCCACAGCTCAGGCCTAGTAAATATTTGACACTTTCAAAGAGCTCCCCAGGAGATTCTAATATGTAGCCAGGGTTGAGAACTGTTATTTGAGATGAGTAAAATGCCAGTTTCCCACAAAATAAAGACAGTGATTTCTATTCTCCTAGAAACAGAGAGAAGCTCCAGGAGAGCACAGACATGAAAGTTCCCGGAGCTTTTAAGAAGCGAGTTTCCCCAGAGTTAAAGCACTTAAAGACTCTGCCAAGTCACTTACAATGATGACAACTTTAAAGGGGGTTTTTAGCTGTTTTTCTAACTTGCTCAGAAGGTCGAAACTGACAATGTTGACCAAGCCAGCCGTCAGGCGATCCTTGCCAGTCACCACGACATTGATGCTGTCTGGGCTCAGAGACGGCAGCCACTGAAGGAAGGCCTGGGGATGACAGGGGAGAAGGAAACCTCGGGGATCTGGCCGGCAGCTGCCAGCTGGGACCCCAGCCCACCCATCAGCGGCCCTCTCAGTAGACAATGTTAACGCTTCCCAAAAGACGAACTCAGCGCCTCTCTCTCCTCATGCCCCTGTATTTGCTGGAGCCCTTAGGCCCATAAATTTAACAATCACCTCCACTGCCCTCCCACTCATCCACTCCTTCACGTTCCACTAACACCACATGGCCTGCCTTTGTAAGGAAGCACTTGTTAGCAGTCACTGTGCTGTCTGCGGATTTCAGGCCTCAAATATCTAACTAGATGGCAAGTTTCTGCAGCGCAAGAATGGACTCTTTCTAGAAGGAATTTTATTTTTTTTAAATTATTTTTTAATTAACATATAATGTATTATTAGCCCCAGGGATAGAAGTCTGTGAATCATCAGGCTTACACATTTCACAGCACTCACCATAGCACATACACTCCCCAATGTCCATAACCCAACCACCATATCCCTATCCCCCCGCACCCAGCAACCCTCAGTTTATTTCATGCGATTAAGAGTCTCTTATGGTTTGTCTCCCTCTCAATCCCATCTTGTTTCATTTGTTCCCTCCATAACCCCCCATGACTCCCCTAACCCTGCCTCTCAAATTCCTCATATCAGAGAGATCACATGATAACTGTCTTTCTCTGATTGACTTATTTCACTCAGCATAATACCCTCTAGTTCCATCCACATTGCTGCAAATGGCAAGATTTTTTGATGGCTGCATAATATTCCATTGTGTATATATACCACATCTTCTTTAACCACTCATCTGTTGATGGATATCTAGGTTCTTTCCATAGTTTGGCTGTTGTGGACATTGCTGCTATAAACATTCGGGTGCACGTGCCCCCTTCGGATCACTACGTTTGTATCTTTAGGGTAAATACACAGTAGTGTGATTACTGGGTTGTAGGGTGGCTCTGTTTTGAACTTTCTGAGAACCTCCATACTATCTTCCAGAGTGGCTGAGTGGCTGCACCAGCTTTAGGAGGAATTTTATAAAGGAATTTTTAGCAGATGCTGGTATATACCAAAGACACGGATAATGACAAAAATATTTATCACCTGCTCTCCTGCAACCTTGTCATCCCTAGCCCAAGCCAGTGCCTGGAGACAATGGAAGGCCACCAGGTACCTGCATCTCAGTGGCTAGGTCCCTGGGCTGACACTATGGTGATGTTAAGGGCTAGTTCTTCCTCCAGTTTTGGTCCTGCTCTAAGTGACTGCCTGGTTCTTTTTCTTTTTTTTTTTTTTTTTGAGAATTTTTGAGGGTGCTGTGGGAACCCAACCACATCAAATAAATATGTGTTGAACTATTCGTTTCTAGAGGCAGGGGTGGAATTCAGGTCACAAGGACAGAAAAAAAAGAGGTATTGCTGTGATGCACATTTTTAAAGTTTTGCTTTCTCTTCAGCTGGAAGGGCGTGTCTGGCATTTGGCTGACCAGCAAGAGGCGGAGCTGCCTCTTCTCCACGAGTGGCTAACGGTGGGGAGCTTAGGAAGAAGCCAACGTGTGAGGAAGTGGACAGCTGCCACAAAGAGCAGAGAGCTGGGAAAAACTACGGACGATGAATTAGGTCTCCTCCTTTCTCCACCAGGTTTGCTTCTCTGGGTGTTCATTTCACGGAAGCCCTCTGATCCCTGGATTCATGGAAGACAAAGCTCACAGCCGAGTGCTAACGCAGTGCCCACATCAAGTTCTCCAGCTCTAACGGCACCCGGCTGAGAGCGACCATCCTGCCCACGCCACCTTCTCCAGGTGCACAAAACCTAGGCCAACAGCTCAGGAGATGCCCCTTCAAGGTCTGACTACCAGTGAGCCTGCTGCTTTACCTCGGTAAGACTCAGTTTTGTCATCTATAAACGGGGTTGATACCGACTGCATGCACGCGCACACAGCTGCTATGGGATCCAGGGACGTAAAGGAGGCAGCCATTTTGAAACCTCTGTGTGGTACTGGCAGGCAGGGGGGAGCAGCAGGGACATGAGAGGTGCTCAGGAAGCATCTGTTGCCAGACGGAGGCAAGTCTGAGCTCCTAACCCCTCTGCTTTCTTCCCTAAGGGCATAACCTGATTCTAGTTCAGAAAACCAAGAGTCTCTCCTCTGAAGGCCACCTCCTCTCCCTTCCTCCTTCAGCTGACACAGGATCTTCTAAAGCTCCCCCAGGCCCTGCCCCCAAATTGTTAGTTGACTGCTTCAACACTGAGAACACTTCCTGGTTAAAATCACAACACAAGGGGGACTGACCTGCTCCCAGGTGAAGCGCACAGATGACGGGACCACCACCAGGAGCGGCCATTCCTTCCGGTAAAAGGCTGCAATACAGATGGCTTGGATGGTCTTCCCCAGGCCCATGTCATCAGCCAGCAGCAGGCGGCCTCTCTTCGCTATGGCAAAACTGAAAGCAGAAGAGGGAAGGACAGGGGCATGGCACATCTGTCAGGGGTTAACCTGCCATCATGCCACCATGTAAAGCAATAGCACTTGGTATGGGCCACCGCAGTCCGCAGCACGGGCCCTGCTCCCCAGGAAAGGGAAGACAGGAGCCAGCAGGGGACAGCATGACAGTAAAAAAAAAAATTGAAGAGTCAAAATAGGAACAATGTGGAACAGCGGTCAAAAGGTAGAGAGAGGCTCTAGAGGCAATGGGTCAAGCAAGCCAAGGGAGGGAGCTTCTGAGAGGTGGGCCCCTCAGCCCAGTGCAGGCAAGACCTGGGGGAGTGAGAGAGGAGGAGATTTGGAAGCAGCCCCTAAACAGGGTCCAGGAGGGGTGGCCTTGTTCGCATGAGAGGTATGCCTAGAAAGGAAGGTGGCATCAAAAGCAGGCTTTCTCAAGGTCAGAGAGGACATTTATGCACAGAGGCAAAGGGAAGGAACTGGCAAAGACAAGAGAACACTGCAGAACAGGACAGGCCGAGGGGAGGACAGCACCAGGGTGTCTGTCTACCAGAGAACACCAGCCTCAGCAGCTTCTCCTCCACCAGCAGCCACTGGGGCCCCTCCAGCGTGACAGCTCTTGAAGACGCTTTGTGAAGAAGGGCACCTTCTTCCACTCTCTGGGAGCCCGAGTGGCCTGCGGGGGCATTCCAGCTCCGCTGCTTCACAGCAGGGTACCTTCCCACAGGTTACCTCAGCTCCTGGTGCCTCAGTGGCTCAGCCATGAGATGGAAATAAAAGGGCCTGCCCCAGAGACCGTGGACAGGGTTTAACAGAGTTAATGTTTAGGACACCAACTACAGGGCCTGGCACCATCGTACATGCTGGGAAGTGTTTCTCTTCTAACTACTACCCCACAGAAAGAAAAACAATCAAGATGAACGCTAAAAAGGACTTGCTTGACTCACGAATGAATCAGTGAAAAGGGAAAAGGATCCCAAGTGCCAGATGTCTGGTCTCCTGCTCCAAACACCAGCCCTCTTCCATCTCAATTTCTGAAAAACTGATCATTCGCCCAGAAACCTGAGAATAAGCTGGTCGATGAGTCCTTTTTCTTTCCTCCTCACACAGCCAAGGCAGCAAGTGTAGCCCCTTCTGATCAGCAGAAGCACGGTTGACAGGAGCTGCAGGGGCCTCTCTGAGCTGTCCGCCCTCTGAAAGCCAGCGCCCGCTCAGCAGAGGCAGCAAAATGAGCAGTGTGTCTGCAGGTGGCAGGAGCCAGCCTCCTGGGCTTGGTGGATGACACCTACCACATCACAGTGCTGCTCTGTCCCCCCAGGGACCACGACGACCCACCAGGGCAGGTAGCAGCCCCTCTGCACCCCTGGCCATGACCACCACATGCCTTCAGTGGCAAGGAAGGGAGCCCAGAGTGGGGCCACCTCGCCTCTCAGACAGGCCCAGCCTCTTCTCGGCACATGTGCCTTGGTTAAATCTTCTCGACTATCTCCAGGATCAACTCGCCACACAGATGGGGGAGGAAGTGTGGAAAGATTCATTTTTTACCCCACTTTTTAGTTTACAGAACTGACGGCCAGGGTGGAGGGGGGCACCTAGGCAACACACCTGAGTACCCTCTGCTTCGGCCATTAGCCGCGTCCCTGTGGTTTGTCCATCCAGGCATTCTCAAAGCAGAACAGACCCTTTCTTTTTCCCTGCTTTGAAGTAGCCCAACTAAGAAACAAAGTAGACAAAAAAGAACAAAGGAAATGCCTGCCTAACAGAGAAACAATCTGAACGCCATTTCCGACAGGGCAGTTGGAGGACCACAGGGGCTGTGCTCATCATTACAAAACGTGGTTTTCAGCTCCAGTTCCACTCTTGGAAGCTCAGTGACTCTGGGCACACGACTGTCATGCTGGGTCTCACCTCACTCATTTGCTCAAAGGGACGTTTTAGACGTTACAGGAACCTGATCTAGATCTTAGAGACTACTACATAAATTTAAGAGTGTTTTCCTTATAGCTCTTACAAGACCAACTTGGAAGTGCCAGACCTTGTTCTTTAACACTCAAATCCTCCTCTTCAGAGGATGACAGTTAATATCTGGATTTAACTGGAAGTTTCGAAGAAAGGCTGTAAGTACCACAAGGGAAAAGACGGAAGCTGCTGGCCAGGCTCTGGTTCGGGCTCACATCAGGCCTGGGGGATCCACATAGAGCCTCTTGGTGATGACGGCTTAACTGGCAAGGCAGCACGTACCACACGGGCCCAGGATCTCTAATGGGGCCCAGAGGAGCTTGGGCACCGGATACAGAGGCTGCCCATGGGTGGGGGTGGGCAACCTCTCAAGCAAGATGAAGTTGTGCAAAGCGTGTTATCTGAGACAGATGGAATTGGGAGGGAAAACAAGGGAAAGGGTGTGAACAGAGCTGGGACCACGGGAATGCAGGTATGACTGCCCAAATCTCAGAACAAAACCCTAAGACAGTGGTCAAGATTTTACCAAAACCTCATGAGCAGGCTGCCTGCGGGCAGGCTGTCTTTGTTCACCAGGTCCACAAGGACTTGCTCTCCTTATCCTGGCTTACATCCCCAGCTACACTGCTGAATGACAGATGAAGCTCTTACCATCTCTTTCCTCTCCTTGACCTCCAGTGTTTTCACTAGAAGGCAAGTTCAAACCTGTCATTTGGCTTCTCCCAAGAAGCTCTGGAAAACAGGACAGGTCACAATGTGGGCTTATCTTCTTTTCTGTCTGTAATAAGAACACCCTGACTTTCTTTTGGAAAACCAACACCTTCCACTCTCAGTCCAAGTAACTTGGGGACTGGGGCCCTACCAGCTGGCTCCAGGGATGGGCCTGTCATCCAGTCTCACCAGTAAGACTCCCCAGTCCCCAGGCCACAGTGACTGGTCCTGGCATGGCCACCGGATTCCAGGCCCTTCAGTGTCGGGCCATCAGGAAAGAGAGCTTCCACTGGGTTGCTGTGCCCTAGCCGCCACATCTGAGGAGCACCTGGCTGAGAACAAAGCAAACAGAGGAGAGAGCCAAACTGAGAGTGGGACAGAGAGTTCTGATGAGATCTCTGAAGACCCTTGGTTTTCTACTACGCACACCGAAAAATCTCTTTTCTTGAACCCGTCTTGAGTTGGGTTTCTGCACACCTGCAATCTAGAGTCCTGATTAACTCATGGAATTTGAAATCAATGGTTGTAATCAGGCTTTGCTTACAGCACACCTGGTTGTGCAGTGCCTAGATGCTTCCAGATGTGCATGCAAGATGAGTGTTCTTAAAAGAGTGAGGAGCAGCTGAACCCAGTTTGTGTGAGTCACGAAGTCCAGGAGAGAGGAAGACCCGAGAACCTACTTGACTCCCGCTCTCTGGAAGGGCAGCAGATTGGACACGAGCTTGGGGTCCACTCCAGAAAGGTCTGCCTCAGGGATGGGTTCTGTGAGGCAGGGAGACGTCTTCTCTAGCTGCGATGCGAATGCCAGGGTGAGTGTCTTGGGCAGAGGGTCCAGATGAACTTGCGGAAGGCAGCGCACGCTCTGGACTAGGAAGGAGGACAGAGGTGTGTGACTTGGAGGTTAATGCCCATGAGAGCGAAGGACCGTGAAGAGACTCTGAGATAGAGCTCAGTGACTGGAATTCTGCTGTGTGTCACCTTCTCAAAACCATAACTGGAGAGAAAACCGAGGGCTGACAGTCATATCCTGAGCAAGTACATAATCCTAGAGACCTAATGCTCCCTCTCTACTAGCTCCTGCAAATAAGAGGGCAATCGCGAATGTCAGACTGATTTCCTACACTACACGGATGCTGGGAAGTATTGCAAAATGTTTCTGTGACTGATTCTTCTTTGACCTAAAGTAACTTAAAAGAAATTATATTAGTATTCCCATTCAAATAAATAAGGTCCCACATTCTTAAAAATCAGTCCTGAAAGACCCATTTAAAAAAAGGCAAGGTATAGAATGAATAAATCTTGTCTTGCTTCCATTCTCTTCATGTTTTCTTTGGGTCTTGATGTTTGAGAATATGAGAACTCGACGTTACCTGCTGCCAGTGCGCTGTGCTCTGTTCAGAGCAGCTCTTAGGTTTCCAACAAAGATCAGGAGGATAGGAGGGCTATTTACAGACAACAGTAGCAATGTCAAAGCCTACCAAGTGATAAAAATATAAGTGGCCTTGCACCCTGGTGACCCTTTCCCTAAGAGAATGCGGATCTCCCCTTGAGAGAGGGGAGTTTGAGCAGTGACATCAGCGGTGAAGCAGCCGGCAAGTCCCTTGGTCTGGAGGTAACCTGACAGCACCTCACCCATCCTCGAAAGCAGGTGTTGGCAAGCAAGACCTGTGGGCCAAACTGGCCCACTGCCTGCTTTTGTAAACAAAGTGTGGCGGGAACACAGCCACGACGATTTGCTTATGGAACATCCATGGCTGCGGGCTTGCCGCAGTGGCTGACTTGAGCAGGTGGGAGACCACAGAGCCTACAAAGCCTCAAGTCTTTATTATCTTCACAGAAATAACTCACCAAGCCCTGCTAAGCTCAGAGTCTCAACTATTACTAGGAGTGATCACTACTCTGACTCTTTCAATTAAAGCTTGTATTTAGGGGTTTTTACCTCCCTTCCAAGTGAGTGGTTCCAGACCTCTCTGTATAATGGTTGGGGAACTCTCTCCTTCCAGTCGGACCCATTACCTCAAGTGGGAAAAATTACTTGGGATCTTCATGAAATGAAAGCAAATTAATCTCAATGATTTTGCTTTTTGAAGGAATTTAGCCTCATCTGATTTTAAAATTAAGAAGGGAAAAAAAGCCCCTTTATTTAATAGAGAAACAGAAAAAGAATAAACCAGAGATACAAATAAAACAGATAATTCTGGAGGTAGGAGAGAGGTAAGTTAAAAATTAAAGATGACAGGCCTAGACATCCCTAGTGGTAGAATTACTACCCATCTACTACAGCCCGCTGTCTTATGGGTGGTAGCTTTCGAGATGCCCTTCCCTTTTACCACTGTCCTTTGAAAAATCTACCTGGGAGAGTAACTACCGTCTGCAGATCTTCGACTCTCTTCATCCTTTACCTTTAAGTGGGCACCCTGGGAGTCACTGTCATCCTCCAAAGGGCTGCTTCCAGGAACTTGGTAAAAGGAACCAAATAAGAAACTGGGTATATTTCACTCTTCCCCAATATTATTCGAAATTCTACGGTTGTTGGTTCTGTACTCCATACAGTTATGTGTGTTCCTAATATGCTCACAACATTTTCCAAGTTCTCTGCCACACCATCAGCTGGCTACCATAGCAAATACTGATCTGAACATGGAGGGCCGAGCCATCTACCACCACCTTAAGTCTCTTTGTATTCTCAATATATTTAAATCCACTTCCATTTTTCGCTAAATGTATATACCAGCTATTTCTGGAAATGCTTTGGGTGAGCACAATCATCACGATAAGAAATTAGGTGAGGCTGGTGGCTTTCATATAAAAAAGACTTCCCGTACTGATGGAGAAATACATTTTATGCCTCCGAATTCCATCTGAACATGCTGACTTCTGCACACTTCAGGAGACCGAGCACCACATGTGCTTTCAGAAACCATTTTCATTTTAATCCTGCTGATCGCCAGCACTCGCACACCTGATGGAAGCTTAGAAAAGGCCTGACGATCTGGCTGGTGCGAGATGTGGAGCTCAGCGAGTATTATGTTCTTCCAGCCGTTCAGGAGGAAAAAGCAACCTCCGCTCTGTCTCCCGCCAGCTACTGCCTCCCTAACCCTGTGCCGCCAGTTCAGCCACGCGGCTGTGTTTCTGAGACAGCCCCCCAGTTCACGGATGTCCTTTCCAGGTGCTGGAAGATGACAGGAGTGTGCTGTCTGGCTTCATGAGTCATCTAGAAATCGTTTCTGTGAAACAGCTCTTTGGCAGAATGCTAGGGAGCCACACAGCAGAGAGATGCTAATGTTTTCAAATAGCAGCTGACAAGACCAGATCAGTGAGGGGGATGCAGAGCCCTTCTGGACTGTGACAGCCCGGGGAAAACAAAAGGCCGTTTGCCAATCTCACTGTGGGCAAATGGCCTCAAGTCAGTGAGAAAAGAGGGAGGAGGGAAACTCTTAGATTTGCCTTATCTGGAGGAAATAATCATCACCACGTCATTCATATGCTCAGGAGGTCTTACTGTCATTTTTAAATGAGTTTCGGATGCACACATTCACTAGCTCAGGGTCAGGAACAAGACCTAGGGTGAGGGGAGGGTCGTGGGGCCCCCGAGGTTTACAGTCTGTGAGCAGTGGAATAGGGACTAGGCTGGGTCACTGGGCAGTGCCTCATCTCCTCAGCCTCTTGTTCACAGGTCTGGCTTCTATGTTTCCGAATGGGTCACATTACAAAGTCAAGATCACCCATGTGGCCTGATCTCCATCACGGACTTTATTGTGACCCTGCAATGCTCCTGGAAGGGAAAACAACAGGCTTCTCTCTCTGAGTTCAAGCTTTTCACACACTACAAAGTAGGGAGAATCCATCTTCTTTTCTATAAAACACTATATTGACAGGCCAACACACAAAACAGCAATCTGAGCCCTAATTCTAGAACTCCTAACTCCAGACCCATGGAGTCCTTAATATAAAAGGCAAAATTTTGTGTGTGGCCATTATGTGCATATTTCTGGGTGAAGAATCCATCGTTTCCCTCAGACCTTCCAAAGTCTATGGCCCACACAAGATGTGGATCCATCATTATATAATGTCATGTGAGTCGCAAGCCATGGTTTTTCGTTACAATCCTCTGCTAACACTGTCCATATCCTGCTTCACATGTTGGTCCACAAAAGTCAGTCTTTATGGCTCACATATTTATATGTCTTTCTGTGGTTGGAAAACAAGGGGTCAAGAAGGAAACACTCAGGCCCATTGCTCATCAATAATTCAGCTCTGGCCAAACAGTTCGCTGCAAATCACAAGTTCCAAACAGCAGGGCCACGGAGTCTCGGCATGTCAGGCATCGTCTCTGCCTCCGCTAGCCTTTGCTGATACTAAATAAGGATCTCATCACATTCAGTCTGAACCTTGAGTCTGCAGCATGTCTCTCTGCAAGGAGTCAAAGGCGCTTCCCTTATACTGAATTTCTGTCCGTAGGGCAGATACGGATTGGAGACCCCTTCTTTCACGGGAAGGACGAGGGAACCCAGAATGTTCAATCATCTGCCCGATTTCACCTTGTAAATCACACGAGGAGACCGAGGGATGAAACCCAGCTCTTCCCTCTTGCTGAGAGCCCTGGCCTGCTGGGCAAGATGGGCAATGACTTGGAGCTCCTCGGCTGGAGCTTGTGTCTCCTCGCCTGACTGGGACCAGCACTGCCTGGGAGGCCCAACGAGTCCTCAGGGGGCCAAGCAGGAGGAACATAAGTTGTGCCAGCTGCAGACCCATTGTGGGCATGTGACAGCTTGGTAGATGGGTGACAGATGGGTGTTCCGGGACAGGCAGAGCCATGCCCACGTTCCCCTTTCTCAGGCACACTAGAATTTACGGCCCCGCCCGTGCAGAGCACAGAGACAAACATTGAGCCCAAACTGGCTTCTGCTTCCTATACTGACACCCGTACACACACCCCTTCCTTGGTCAGTCTCCAAAGTGCTCATTAAATACGTGTGCGCCCAGGCCTATTCCGAAGCCCATAACCACGCAGACTCTCTGACCCTCGCTGGTCATCCAGTTCTAAAGTAAACCGAGAGGCTGTTCTTAGGGGGAATCTACAGTGGCTCCCATCTACACTAGCAAACTGAGTTCACGTCTGATGCCCAAGGTCCCCAACTAATACTTGTCTCACAGGCCCTAGGAATTTGATGCACACCGCCACACTCTGATGGAAGAGGGGGTCCTGAGTCTGTGGGCGGCTGGAAAGCCACCCTCTCAGCTGCCTGGGAACATCTTCCCCCTCACTTGTCCTGCGCACAAGCATGTGAAATTACCACAGGTGCGGAGTTGGGGCCAGGGCGGGGGGTCTTCCTCTAAAATATGTTAAATTTAAGGCAGATAATGAAAGCTTAACACAGCATGATATAAAATAAGCAAGGTAGGCAACTCACTTAGTTTGTTGTGCTCTTCCAAGAGAAAGTTCCACTTCCTGGTCTTCACATCTGCAATGACAGGAAACAAGCAAGTGTGACACCCTGTACCCTCCGGATGCGTCGTCACGTTACTCATTCATTCCCCGGTTCCAGAAATCTCCAGTAAGCTAGGACGCTGTGGCTAGTCCTGCGCCTGGCACTAGGGATACAGAAACGGAGAGTACCTTCCCTCAAGGCTGCCACAGAATTAGGGGAGAAAAGACAAGCAGACACCCCAACAATACTGTGCTATTAAGGGAGTGACAGAGGGTCCTACGGGGACCTACAGGGATCCGTGACCAGGGATGGCCCGGAAAGTCAGAAATGCCCTCCATTTCCAAGATGGGGGTAATAATAGTAGCTTACACTTATTCAGTGCTTACTTTAAGCTAGGCATGGTGCCAAGAGACTCACACATGCCATTCCTCTGCTCCTCACGACCCTAAGAGCTGGGCACCATTATAAGCTTCCTTTTACACAGAAACAAACAGCACATTGTCAGAGAGGACAAACAGCCAACATTCAAATCTCAGTTCTGCCATTTCCTAGCTGTGTGACCTTGGGCAAATTATGTACCTTCTCTGGGCCTCAGTGCCCACACCTGAAAAATCAGGACGTTAGAGCCCCTGCCTCAAAATGTTTATGATGGGGGCGCCTGGGTGGCTCAGTGGGTTAAGCCTCTGCCTTTGGTTCAGGTCATGATCTCAGGGTCCTGGGATTGAGCCCCGAATCGGGCTCTCTGCTCAGCAGGGAGCCTGCTTCCCCCCTCTCTCTGTCAGCTTCTCTGCCTGCTTGTTATCTCTCTGTGTCAAATAAATAAAATCTTAAAAAAAAAAATGTTTATGATGGGGCACCTGGGTGGCTCAGTAGGTTAAGATTCTCTCTCTCCCTCTACACCTCCCCTTCAAAAAATAAATAACATGTTTATGAACATGTATCTGGTAAACAGTGAGCCCTCAAAAGCAAGCTGGCCATTATAAATTATTATTGTTGTTATTAGTAGGAAACCCTCTGCTGATGCGTATCATGTACACACACTACATCCGATACTGACCAAAATGGGCAAGCATCTCAGTCCCCAACACTGGCTAAGTTCTTCTAGAGTTTTCTCATTGATCTACCTCCTGAGAAAATCATGACAACTTCCACCAGATAAAGGTGTTCTGGACAGCAGACGTTCAGTCTTCTCTGCATGACCACTGAGAGGACAAGGTGGTGAGGGACCAAGCAGCACAAACACAGCGAGTTGGTGTCAGGGAAAAAAGCACGGTAGCCGGGATATAATCTGACAGATCAAAGGCACACAGATGACTCCTGATGTTGGAACTGCATGGGAGGCTCCTCCTGACAACAGCCCGATCCTGACCCGGGGCAGAAGAGGAAACAGGAAAGTTTTTAAAGAGTAACTATGGCAAAAAAAAAAAAAAAAAAAAAAAAAAACCAGTCACGGTTTCTGCATATCTGAGTTGGGTGGGGGGGACTGGGGGTAGATATTTTAGTCATTCACATTCCCAGCACAGCAGGCCACACCAGGAGTGTGACTTCAAAGATCCCACTTGCAGAATGCACACAGGCCATCTGCACTGGCCTGTAAGGGTGACCCCACACTGAAGCCAAAATCCCAAGGGAGCAGGGGAGGCAGAGAACGCTGGCTCTCGTGCGTGTGGCCCCTCTCATGACTCAGGCCAGGCCCCGGCCCCTCTCCCTTAAATCCTATTAGCAGGCTGCCCTTGGTAGTTAATACAAACCTAATAGCTGGCATCGCCCTCCTCCTGAAAGAGCCCCAAACCCTGAGGACAGCTCACCAAGCAAGTAATTCTAGAGAGGCTGCCCCCCAACACCGCTTGAACATGAGGTTTCCGAAACAGGAGGTGTTAAGGGTCTGCTTCCTATTTACCTAAGGAAAAGACTAAAACCACCTCAAGGATGGAAGATCAGCGATCCATACAAGCCATGTGGTTTTGTAGTGACACGGCCCAAGCTGAGGAGACCCAGCAGCTCCAAATCCCAAAACAACTTCAGATCCTGATTCTGACCAGGCACTTTCTAAAGAGTCACACAAAAAAATAAAGCAAAACTGCTCTGCTTGGGCCAGTGGTGTTCGATTCTGGCCATGTAAACGAATTCAGTCAGCATCTCTGGGTGGGCACCAGTCACCAGCGATCGGGCTGGGAGTGGCTCTCGACAATTTGCTTTAACAAGCCCTCCAGGCAGTCTGGATGCATGCTCAAATCTGACAACCATGGACTCAGTCTACTCAAGGGCATTTATTTTAATGGCATATGCCTGTGTTTCAAGCTCTCTTAAGGGACAATAGTCATTTCCGAACATTCAAACAGAGAGAGAAATAACCTGCTCAGAGATCACAGACCATCATGCAGCCTAGGAACCAGGCAAGAGCCAATTACTTGCCGTAATTTCTGGACTCCATCTGCTTAAACAGTGCGATCAGGTCTTCGGAGTAGCCGATGTCTGCCTCGAAGCGGACCCGGGAGATGAGCACGCATTGCCCTTTGACAAAGGCCAGCGAGGGAGCTAAAGGCAGGCAGGTCTGGGCTACGCCAGAAGTGGAGGGTGACTCCCTGTTGTCCTCAGCCCCTTCCAAAGGCTGCAGGGTGACCGTGGGGAGGCTCTGGGCTGCTTTCACTGCAGAAGAAAAGGAGAGATGTGACAAGGTGGTTGACTTCCACACAGGGAGGGAAGAAACACGGTTCGATCAGGAAGGCCTGCAAGTGAGCTTTCGCTGGGGCATCAGGAAGTCCAGTCTTTACTGAATGTAACGTCTGCTCCTCAAGTGTTCAAGTTACAAAACCTGCAACTCAGAAATGACGGGGGAAGGAGGGGCCTCACCAAGATGTGCGAACTCAATGGGTAATTGCTGCTGCTGGGTCAGAGGAGCCACTGAAGCCAACGGCCCAGGAATCGGCCCTGGAACCCAACCCCCAGGTCACCGCTGCTCTTGCTTGGAGAGCCAGGGAAAGAGACACAGAACCATCAGCCCATAAATGAAGTTTTGAGCCCGATTCTATCTGTTATGGATGCACTGTCAGATTAGCCAATTTGATGAGGTAAAACTAAACTGTCTAAACCAACAAAGAAATGGAATTGAAATGCAAAACTACTGAATCGAGACTTTTGCAAGAAATCTGAGTAGAGCCAGCACTTGAGAAAATACTAAGACCACAAAATGCAAGAAGACAGAGACGTCACGAACTCAGAAGAGGGGGGCAAATGAGCAACAAACACCTGGAAAAATGTTCAACTTCACAAATAATCAGAGAAATAAAAAGTCATTTTTACTCATCAAATTTGCAAGATTAAACAACAACAACAACAACCAGTTCTCTGCATTGCTAGCTGGGAATAAAACCTTTGAAGATAATTTGGTAATCTAGAACAAGAGTCCTAAACAGTGATCATAATGATTCCACTTCTAGGAATCTGCCCAAACTAACAACTGAAAATACAGAGATTTATGGAGAAAGTTACTCCTTGCAACTTTAATCCTACGCAAATCGGGAGCAAAGGTAAGTGAAGCAAAAAGGAAATGATTGAAGCCATTTATGACACATTTATACCATGGAATGTTATATAGCCGTTAATTTTTTTTTAGCAAGAAGTTTTGGAAAAGACAAAAATACAAAAACCAATATTAGTTCAACAGTATGAAATCATTTTCTTAGGGCTCAAAGTATCCGATAGGGGATACCTGTATTGCAGTTACTTGGAATTAGCAGCTAACACTCACCATTAAAATAAAAATGCTTCTGCTGGAACACTAAGTAAAAAACGGCAAGATAAAAATCATATAATGTAGATAAAGTGTGTATATTATAACACACAGAAAAAAGGCTAGAAGGAGAAAATCAAATAATAATAGTGGTTAACTGAGTAAGGAGATTATGGGGGAATAGTCGTTTTTTGCAAGACGATATACTTTCCACATGTTCTGCAATGTATGTATAGGAGGGTTAAAAAGGCAAAATCCACAGGTATGCCGAAAGCAAAATGACAGAAAGACTGACAGTCTTTACACATCACACTGATTACACGGATAAAAAGGATAACCTACTAGGAAGGCACACCATAAACCTATCTGAAAATTAAACAAGGACAGAAGAGAGCTACCTTTGTGCTGATCACAGACCAACACAGTGTTGTGGAATCCCCATGTTGAACACCTGCAACAAATGTAACACCGTGTGTCAGCTGTACTTCAACAGAGGGGAAAAAAGAACAGGGATAAATGCAGAACCCACAACCATCACACCAGTGTTTAAGGGACATCTCTGTAGACAGCAAGTCAAGTGTGCGAAATGCTGATAAGGACACAAATGAGCTAACTAATTCATAATCAGTAACATTCATCTGAAAGCCATACAGAGAATTTTGTGTCCAATAACCGGTTTTTAAAAAAGATGTAGGGCATTATGAAAAGCAACCACACCACAAGGAAAACCAAAATCAATCTGTAAAACCAGAAGTTATCCAAGTCCCCAAGCAATGAGAGTACAGGAGTAGAAAGACGGTAATACAAACAAAAACCACAGTCGTGGAAATCACTGGTTTAAAATGAGAAAAATGAGAAATGCAGGTGTTGAAACCTGCAGCAGTCTTAATTGGGAGTACAGGCCCTCCCTCTCCCAACACCTAACACAGGGATTAAAATAACAGTGAGTGTCACCCCCCTCCCCCCCAAAAGGTCACCAGCAACTACCAAAGCAAGGGACCCCACCCGATGCCACACATTTAAAGCAGTGGATGCCACAGAGAGACACAGGGAATTGTGCAGGGGGCTGCCCCTCCCCTGCCCCCAGAAGCTGTGCTGGTGACTCCAGAGAATCCCACCCAAGGCCCCACACCTGCAAAGAAGTGACCTCCCCGTCCTGCATCTTCACCTTTCCCCTGTCTGAACTGGGTGGGGAAAGAGAAAGGAGTGAAATGGCTGCAGGAGGAGAGGAGGAAAACGGGAGGCCAGAACACGCAGGGCTGAAGTGCTGGCAGAGGAAGAGGCTCCAGGCTCCAAGGGCTGATGGAAACCTTCGCTTAAGAGTCAACAAAATCTGGGAAGACGGAGGGGTGCCCCTCGAGAGCTCTGACGACGGACTGGGTTAAAGGGGCCCACTGGCGCCTGCCCGGGCAACCCCTTCTCCCTACCCTACAGGTGAGCTGACCGTGCGGAGAGCTGTGAGGATGTGGCTGTCCGCTGAGCAGTCCTGTCAGGGTGGTCATGGCTGGAGCCAGGAGCCCCGTAGGAATGTGCGCTCTGAGGTCAGGCAGTCTGGGTCTGTATCCCAGGTGTATGCCTCACTGGCTGTGTGATCCCATTTTAGCTACCTACCCTCTCCGGGCCTCCGTTTCCCCAACTGTAAAACAGGTGTTGTGAGAGGCAGAAGAGTTAGTGTATATGGCCATGCCTCGTTTTACTGCTCTGTGCTGTGTTGCGTGTTGCAGATAAAGAGTTGTCTTTACCCGCTGAAGGTCCGTGGAGACCCTGCACACGGAGCAGGGCTATTGGCGCCATCTGCCCAAAAGCATTTGCTCCCTTCCTGTCTCGATGTCACATTTTAGTAATTCTTGTGGTCTTTCAAACTCTTGCATTATTATTCCATTTGCTATGGTGATCTGGGATGAGTGATTACAACTTGCCGAAGGCTCAGGTGATGGTTGTAACATTTGAGCAACCAATTTCTAAATTAAGGTTTGTACACTGTTTTTTCAGACATAATGCTATTGCACACTTCACAAACTACAGTATAATGTAAACATAACTTTTATATGCACTGAGAAACCAAAAGTCATCTGAGTCACTCTGCTGTGCTACCTGCTTTGTTGTGGGGGTCTATAAACAAACCCACCATGTCTCCGAGGTATGCCTGTATGAGGGGCTTAGAACAACTCGGCAGAGTGGCTCCAGTAAGTGCTGGCTTTGGTTAATACAGTGACCTTCACCCAGGGAGTTGCCTCAGTAGGCTGGCCTTGAGTGAGAAAGGAGAAGGGCACTGGGGTAGTGCCCTAAACGCCATCTAAACCAGAAGCTAGACCACATCTGCTGCTCTAGGGGCCTCCCAATACCAGGATTTCCCTGCATGCAGGGCAGGGACGTGCCTACTTACTTAGGGCACCATAGTCGGTCATGCTGAAGTTCCACGTCTTGGTGGCAGGATCTGAAATGAAACAGAAGTACTTAGTTGCCCATAATCAGGTTGATGACTGTCATTCTGAGTTGTACTGAGACATTCAGTAAAAGCTTGTTTAATGAATGAATGAGTGCTCGGTTCGAAAAACAGTCAGTGGAGAGCCACTACAGATGTACAGATTCCCTGTGGGGGACAAAGGGCAAATACAAATAAGGACAGTGCTATTACTCCATATAGTGCAACTCATCAGGCCCTGGAACCTTATGGCCTCGCCTAAGGGGGCAGAGGACAGAGGTGGGACTAGAATCCAAGTTCTCTGGGACCCAGTGTAGCCAGGCACACCGAACAAAGAGCAGGCCCTCTGGGCTGTTGTAGAGATAGCACAGCCTGGCTCTGCACTTCCAACAGGAACCAACTCAAGCATCTTACTTCACCTTACTGAGCCAGCCCTATTGCCTTGAAAATGGAATTAACATTTACTTATCTCAAAAAACTGTTGTTACGCTTAAGTGCTACAACACAAACAAAGCACCCGGCAGGGGAACTGGCCTCCCAGTAAATATTCATCCCTTCTCCATCTGGCCATGTGGCGGCCCCCAAGTTTGGCAGCTGTTGGAAAGAACGTGTATTACAAAAGGAAATATGAGCTAAAACAAAAATTTCAATAACTGGACGGACAGAATGTGCCAATGCACTCTCTTCATATTTATGAGAAACTGTTAGATTAAAAGAGACTCTAAAAATAGAAAAAAGAAAAAAAAACAAAACAAAAACAAAACCATGTGAAGAACAAGATGGAAGCCTCATTACCGTAACTTCTGCTGGGGAGACGCTTAAAAACTGTGATGAGCTCGGCATTGTACCCAATCTTCACCTGGAAACGATCTCCGCTTCTTATGCACCTTCCCTCCTGGGAGCTTCCTGCTTTGTGGTGTGAGGCCCCCAGTTTTTGTGGGTGCCTTCCTTCTGTCCCAGGTGTCACGCTCCCTGAACCACAGTTGGTGTCAGAAATGTTCTGCCCCGAGGTAGAGGGCCTCACTGCCTTGGCCTCTACTCCGGGATCCCTGGGTGGCTGTCCAAAGAAAGAAGCTAGTGTCTTCTGGAAACTCTTGGCTTTGGACAAAGGCTCCTGAGTTGTGTTAGCAACGGGTGTGGATTTGATCTCCTGTGAAGCCTGAGGATGACCTTTACCTAACGGACCACCCAACATTTGTTGTCTGGGGCCCTCTGGAGGACTTTGTGCAGAGGGAGGAGAGATGCCAGTGTGAGTCATTTGACCTGATGGGCTGTGGCTCTGGCAGGCTGTGGGCACATCTTGCCTCTTCCAGATCCCCTTTGCCTGCTCTGGAGCACTTAGATGAAAACTATGGGAATTAGGAGGCCTTTGGTCACCATTAGATGAACTGTTGAGATTCTGTTGCCTGAAAATGACACCATGGTTCGCTGGCTTAGAAGGATCCCTGGGGAAGTTTGGGAGAGGGCCCTGCTTGGACTGGGGAGAGTTGGTGGCAATGGAGGAGCCAGAGCCTGCGCTCTGATGCTTTTCTGCTAATAATTTCTCAGCTCTCCGGGCCAGAGCCTTTTGCCGGTTCTCTTCAATTTTTTTCCTCTGCTCCTCTGTAAGAGGCAGGGACATTTTAACAGGGAAATGCTTATGCAGGGACGTCAGTCTTTAATCAGAAAATTGGCAGAAGCTGAGAAAGGAAAAACAATATTGAAATAAACATTAAATGTATTTATTTTTCATGCTCCTACCTTGATTTTAAAAAGCTTTCCTCCAGGAAATGCACAATTTGTACAATCAAGGGATATGTGAAAGGTTTCTTTTATAATTGAACACAGACACACACATACCATACACAGACACACACAGGGACAGTAGGTAGCATATACTAAAACAAAGACCCTGACAAAAAGCAAAGAGCAAGGTGAGATGGAATCCAAAACTAAGCAGGTATTTTAGCTGTAGTATTATTCTCTCTCTCATCCCCCAGCCAATGTGAGTGAGCAGACCCCAAGGAAGTTAGGCAGTGCCCCCTCATCTATCAGATAATGAGAAGGATGACATCTGAAACCAGAAGCAGTAATGGATTAGACTGACACAGACCCAAACAGCCACATACCATGGTGAGACACTTGCTATCAGACTCCTGCCAAGCTGGAAGAAGGAAAGAAACATTAGCTTCATGTAGACTGCACACTAAACTCACCCTTTTAATTCAATCCCGTTATCACTCCTGGCAAACCAAGCTGCAGGTGGCAGGTGCAAGCCACAAAGCAGTGAGCCTGCCTTTCAAAATGCACCACTGCGAAGCAACCGTGACTTTTTGGAAAAATAAGGAGAAAAAAAAAAAAAAGTAGTGCATGCTCATTGTAGAAACTCAGATGCTACAAAAAGATGTACAGAAAAGAGTTAAATTAATCTGTAATCTCACCACCCATCAAGAAGCACTGTTGGTGGTTTAATTTATTCTTTTTTTCTATTCATATCCATAGATACATGCCCCATATTTAGGAGATGTGTATTTATCACAAAAAAGGATCATTCTGTACATTATATGTATATTATATATGTGTATACATATAAATATAAACGTACATTATATATGTATATGTGTGTGTGTGTGTATATATATATATATATATATATATATATATATATATGCATACATACACACACATTGTTTTGTATCCTGATTTTTTTTTTCAATTAATTTACTCCGGACATTTCTCTACGAACCATACAATCTTTTACAATATTCTAGAACCAAGGAGCTGGACCCCAATTTCTCTGGCTTGGTTCAGACTGAGCCTCCATTCAACCTACTGCCATGTAATGCTTACAGTGATGACATGGGGATGACTCCAGCAGCACTGTTGAGACCGAGAGCGTTCAAAGCTATTCTTGCTGCTGAAGACTCCCTTTGGGAAGAGCTCCAAAACATATGGGGTGTCCATGGTACCTCTCTGGGGTACCTCCAGAGACCTCTCACTTCCTCCAACCACCCATAAGGAAGGATCTGGGAAAGGCTTTGTTCCCGGGGCAGAGCTGAAGCGCTTAGGCTCCCTGGGTAACACACTCCTAACTTTCCCACCAGGGCTCCCCTACACCCCCAAACTCCCCAGACCCAAGGCCGGATGCGCCGCCTCCAGGAGCCAGGGGAGGTGAGCCCCTGAGAATGAAGAAATCTCACTAGTCAGCCCCAAACCCTAAAGACAGCCCACCACCCAGACTCCCCGCCGCCTCTCTGCCCGCACCCTGCTCCACCGGATTGGGCGCGCGCGCGCGCGCCTCGGACAGGCCAGGCCAGGCAATAAGGGAGTGCCACGCCCCACTCCCACCCCCATTATCTCCACTTGGATTCACCCGTCCCCTTGGCCCACTCCCTCTTCCTGGCTGGCATTTGGTCTCGTCCGACTTCTCACCCATACAGGCGTGGAACTCGAATCACGTTGCCGGCCACCCCGACCCCGGGAGCGTCTCCAGAGCCCTCTCCAGCCAGGTTACCCTTCCGGGTGGGCGGTTAAGGGCAGGTATTCCAGCGCCGCCAGCTCGTCCTTCTTACTGCGGCGCCTGGGCCCGGAGGGGGAGGGGCCCGGTCACCGCAGAACTACGCTTCCCAATGAGCAACACGGCCGCAATTACGCTTCGCAAAGTGGGAGTGACGGGCCGGGAGAGCAGGACCGATGCTGCAAGGTCTTCTGGGATCTGTAGTTCCGGCCAAGAGACTGGCGATGATTAGGAATACGCAACGACGTGAGCGGGGCGGGGCGGGGCGGAGCGGGGCTGTAGTGATGCAGCCTGGGAATTGTAGTCTTTGTTTTCACAAAGGTTTGGCCAAACACCATATCTTGAAAGCCTGGAAAGTTGAGGTTTCCAAAGCTGAAGTCTCGGGGTCACAACTGTACCAAGGGGCATCCCAGACATTGATTTGGTAGCTCTTAAAAAAAAAAGAAAAAATCTGGTGGAGCATCATTTCTAGGTATTGATCACCTCGCCGTTTAAGACCCACCCGTTGTTCAACTCCAACCTGACCTTTCCGGACAAGGAATTTTGGCGTCGTCAATCATCATTGTTTTCGTCGGTTGTTGTGCTGACCATTTAATGTAAATTTTCTTTCTTAATCCTCACGATGACCTTATGGAACGTGTGTTATTAGTATTCCCATTTTATAGGTGGGAAAACTAAGACAACTCTTTGCTAACTTTTTTCAAGGCTGTGTTAGGCTAGCTGTGATTGTGATTCTGAAGTCCCCACTCTTCAGGGGAAATTACTAAACTGACATTGTTAGAGTCAGTTTACCCCATTTCTGAGCATCAATACCCCTTTTCTTACAATCAACTCAGTTATTACATATTGGTGGTAAATATAATATTTCTCTGTTGTCAGTGTACATGAATGTTGCTATTCAGTTTTCAAACGTGGCTCACTTAGAAACAAAGAGGTAGATCTCTGTTTAAGGATTTGGAAAAATGGCCAAGACATAATTTTAAGAAAAACAAAGTACAGCAATGTGTATATATTGAGCTATTCAAAAGAAAGGAGGGAAGGGGGGCACCTGGGTGCCTCAGTGGGTTAAGCCACTGCCTTTGGCTCAGGTCATGATCTCAAGGTTTTGGGATCAAGTCCCACATTGGGATCTCTGCTCAGCGGGGAGCCTGCCCCCCCCCTGCCTATTTGTGATCTCTGTCAAATAAATAAATAAAATCTTTATTAAAAAAAAAAGGAGGGGAGGGAGGGAGGAAAGGAGGCTGTTTTAACTATAAAAGCATGTAAACTCATAGAAAAATGTCTGGAAAGGAAACATCAAAACTCACTCTTCTTTTTAACCTATATTTTCCTGAATGATTTGGATTTTCTTATAATACTCATATAGAACTTGTCTGACTTTTGAAACACAAAATCGTTTTTGGAACATGTAAAAAAATTTTTTTTGAACTTATAAAGACATTGGCCTGTCTTAGCCCACTTGAGTGATGCTAAGTACTAGAAAGTGGGCCAGTCTCACTCTACCTCTTCTGTGGCCACATAAGCATGGTGACTGTGCCTTCATTTTCTCCTCTACAAAGTTAAGGTAGAAAACACCACCACCTTGCCAAATCTTGTGCTGGGGATCAAAACAAGACAAGAGAAATGCTTAGTGAACTGCAAAATCCCAAAACAGATGCCAAATGGATGTTGCTAATATTCGAGGTAAATCTTCTTGGTCTTTCATTTCTCTACACCCGGCATGAACTCTATTATACAGATGAACAGAAACTAATGAACACTTTTCCCTGCCCTTCCAGTCCCCCAACAGAGTCCATTAATTTGCTAAGAAGGTTGGGTGCTATACTTTTCACCCGTGTCTGCCCCCATTTATATAACAGTGACTTCACTCTATTGTGCTCAGTCTTCTCTCCTGGAAAATGACAGATTGCCCTTTGATACCTACCAAGAGGGCATGTGGACCAGGGGAACTCGGGTCCCAGATTTTATGGATCTTATCGCTCAAAGTCCCCAGTTCAGTAGGTCTGGCATTGGGAGTTCCAATTACATTTCTAGCTCCTAACTTTCTAAAATTCTAAGAATGGGAAATTAATATAAGAATTCAATAAAAAAGGGGCGCCTGGGTGGCTCAGTGGGTTGAAGCCTCTGCCTTCGGCTCAGGTCATGATCCCAGGGTCCCGAGATCGAGCCCCGCATCAGGCTCTCTGCTCAGCAGGGAGCCTGCTTCCCCCTCTTTCTCTCTGCCTGCCTCTCTGCCTACTTGTGATCTCTGTCAAATAAATAAATAAAATCTTTAAAAAAAAAGAAAATAATTCAGTAAAAAAAAAGAAAGAAAGAAAAAGAAAAATCATCTTCAGAAAGTGGTATAATCAGGTACCACTTAATATTTACATCTGCTTTGCCAACAGCATTATTTGTTGAGGACTTACTGTAGGCAAGGGTTTTTTTTCCCCCCTATACTTCTGAGGTTTTGAAGCCAACTTAGAGTGAAAATTCCCTCCTTAAAAGTTTGAAGGCCTGGAGGACAGCACATGAGTCAAGGGATGGAGGGAGAAGAGAGGATAGCTGAGACAGTTGAGCTCTAACTGAACTCACCCTCCCAGGCAGATGAAGTAGAAAAGTCAAAAGTGATGCCCGGCCTTCGGGCAAACACCACACAGCTGAAGTTCCCAAACACGGGGCAGCTGGGCAGCGCCAAACTGCCTGGAAGCATCGCCTGGTTGCCTTAGAAACGCGCGCACACACACACACACACACACACACACACACACACACACACACACACAAGGACAATGTAATGAGTATTTTGTAAAGTTAAGTTTTTAAAATTATTTATATAATTACATAATTATACGTAATTGTATAAAATGATTTGAGAGTTTGTGTCAGACTTTTTCATGTTTACCTGGTTTTCTTTAGTAAAGCCATGATGGTTATAAATACTTTTACTTACCAAAATAAAAAATTGTTTTCCCCTGAAAGAAAATCCTATCATGTTTCGTCTGTGAAATCCAAAAATCTGGCAGACACCATTGTAAGGGATTCCAAAGATGAGTAAGATCTATTACCATCTCTCCAAAAGTTTACAACATCTGGAGGATAGAAGATAAATTAAATAAATTAAATTATTAATTGAATAAATTAAAATTGTCAGATTTAGCCAAGGTCCTAAATGTTTGTCTCAAATATTGCATGGGCCTACTTATACTAAAAAAGTATTTGTTGGGGCACCTGGGTGGCTCAGTGGGTTAAAGTCTCTGCCTTCGGCTCTGGTCTGATCCCAGGGTCCTGGGATCGAGCCCTGCATCAGGCTCTCTGCTCAATGGGGAGCCTGCTTCTCCTCCTCTCTCTCTCTCTGCCTGCCTCTCCGCCTACTTGTGATCTCTCTCTGTGTGTCAAATAAATAAATAAAATCTTAAAAAAAAATTTGTTGTTTATCTGAAATTGAAATTTAACTGGGTGTCTTGTATTTTATCTGACAACCATAAGAGCAGTCCACTTATGTTATCAGTCAGGCTTAGCTGAGCTACAGACAGATACACATTGATACATAGATGATTTACAGCAATATTGATACACCAAATTTTAAAGCTAGAAGGGACTAGAGAACCTATATAGTTTCCTAGGGGAGGATATAGAGGTCAGATCAGCCTTTGTGTGTTGTAAAAATGCACGGGAGAAGTTAGCTTGCATGTCACAGACCAGGCAGAGACCAGCATAGAAAGGGAAGCTCGGTCCCAGTGTGGGGCTCTTTCTAGACACTAATTACACAGCTGTTGCATGCTTGCCCTTGCCTGATAGTATGTGTGGGAACCTACATCAGGTTAAGGTCCCTCTGCCTGGAGCGTACATGCTAGTGACATAGGTGGTGGGCTTCCCACTTCCCTCTGTTTCTGACCCCCCTCCGCGCCCCCCAAGAGAGCCTGACAGCTCTTTGGGGAGAGACCTTTGACAGCCTCCTCAAGGGCATGTCATCGCTCAAGTTAATTATACCAGATAAGATTCTGGAGCAGATGCAAGACTTTGGGTGGATAAGGAGGCTGTTCCCTCCTCTGGTGCTGCCAGTTGGCAAAGGCATTTACATATCCAAAGCACAGAGGAGCAATGTGAAGGTTTATAAGCCAAGAAATTCACCTTCCTTAGCGGTTGTTCCGTTCTGATAGACTTAATTGCTCTGAGTCTGACAGTTCAGTTTTTCTCTCTCATGGGTCTGCCTTTCCCTAGCTCTCCTCTCCCCAAAAACTTGAAATGTATGATGAAGACAGAAACTCCAGGATTATTTCTATGCTGTGCATTCCATATTTTGGTGTGAGTATTCTCCAAGCATCTTAATTTCTCTAACTGTTTGGTCTTGGTGGCTGTGATTACTTCACAAGCTTCTCTCTCAAATCTGGCGCATTTTCTGCCTAGGATGGCTTTGTATATCCTTTGCCAAAAGCATCCCCCTCAACACCCTCATCCAGTTTTTTTAGACCTGTAAAATTTCACTTTTCCCGCTTCTCCAAAATCCCAAACTCTGCTTTATTTATCCATCCATTCATATATTCATTTAACAACAATTCAAGGACCTACTAGGGGCCACATACAGTGCAAAGGCACTGGGGTTGGAACAGTGAAGAAGAACCTGAATATGTCACCCTTTCTCCATAAAGCCTATGGTCTATTTGGTGAGGCAGACAAGAAAGAAAGAAAGAAAGAAAGAAAGAAAGAAAGAAAGAAAGAAAGAAAGAATTAAAAAAAAAAAAATAAGGGCCTGAAGGACCTAAACAGAGAATTCAAGCAGAGACTAAAGAGGGAACCATTTCAGAGTGGTTAGAAAAGGCCTCCTGGGGATGGGGGGGGAGGGCGGCAGGCATTAACCTTGAGACTGAAGGAGAGGAGCAGCTTTGTAGATATTGGAGCGAGGAGGATTCTGAACCAGATCAATGGCCAGTACCAGTCCACCCAGACAAGAGAGCTGGGTACGTTTGCAGAGCTGAATGAAGGCCAGTGTGGCTGCAGACAGTGTGAGAGAAGAGGGCTGGAGAGGCGAGTAGGACAGAGAACTTCAGGGTCCTGCAGGCCATGCTGAGAAGTTTGGATTTTGCTGCGGTAACAGTAGGGAAACAC